CTGTAAATCTTTCTACGACAGACCAACAGACCATGAGTGCCCCTGTCGGTCAACCAATCACGTACCACGGTACCAATTACCTCCGGTATGTGTGTGTACCGCGCACTTTGAATGGCTGCATCTGTATATGGCTCGATGATTTTAAGCGAGACTGCACTTAAGTCGCACTTAATTAAGTTTAAATGAAGTTGTCAAATGGTCCTCTTTTCCTAGTTGTCTCCTTGCCAACAAGACTGTATCCTGTTGTTTTGTTAATGAGAGCTGTAAAACAGGTGACTGGAGAAGTGTCTTGTATGTTAAAGCGCTGTTTCAGAAAGAAGTAAACGTAAAACGCACTTAAAACTGTACAAACTCTTGGTGATTTATTTACTGTGATTGAGCAGCATTTAGGCACAGCCTATGGGAATAAGTTGGAGTTGTCAACAACACACGGAAGAGTTATTTTTCCTCACTGGGAAGTAGCGCAATCGCCGGCTACTGGTTTTCTTTTACCTTCAATTGACTTTTCTACTGAATTAGCTTTGCCCTTCTGTACTTTGTTGGTGATTAGCACTTTGCTTTTTTCATCTTCTTGGCTGGTCTTTCCTTCACAAGTCTATGTTCCAGTTTCTGTGTAATTTAAGTCTTGTGCTCAGCATTTTGACCCACGACCTTGCTAATACAAGCTGCAGGTGCCGCCCATTGCCCTACTGTGTACTGACTTGTTTGTGTTGTGTCAATGAGATGGCCTCTCATTCATTTCTTTCCAGTGCTAGATGGGAGATGAGCTGATGGCATTCCTTTATAACTGGATGGGAACAGTTTCTTAAGTCTAGCTGAGAACCCCTCCCCTTCCCGAAGAATCCAAGGTCGATGCGTGAAATCAGAAAATGTGGCCAAGGAGTATACAGTACTGGAATGTAATGTGGTGAATTCAGATGCGGCTCGTGAAAGTACAAAAGTATAATCTCTTCGCAATACTCAAGTATTAGGAAGTAAAAAGTAGCTGTCCCTTCTGCCGTTACCCTGACTTTCAGCAGGGGTCATGTGATCTTTGGGACCCAGCAGAGGTCACATGATCTTTATTAAGAATTGCAGCGGGGGTCTCTTGAGCACTGGGATGCCGGAGAGGATACATGGCCTTCAGTATGCATCGCTGAAGAAGTAATTTGGGACACAGCAGACATTGCAGCTGAGGCTGAGCGACCGCTGGGAAGCAGAGCAACACAGATCACACCAAAGAAAGGAAGCTAATGTTTGTGTTTTTCAATATGAAAAAAAGGCTGATTCCTCTCTGTGCAGAACTAGCTCGAGCAGGTCATAAACCCTGGCTCTGCTGGTAAGGGGAGCTCCTGGCCTGATCCACTACTCTGTGAGACTTCTCCGTACAAACCACTTGCATCCGTCAACGCTGTCTTTCATTCTTTCACCAGCTGGAAAAATAACCACTGCCCACTGAAGACCTCCACAGCAGAGCAGGAGCAGTGCAGTGGAATGTTAGCATTGCTGGAGCAGTGCTGCCTGTCTTCTGCAAGCACTCAAGAGGATTATAATAATAATAATTATTATTATTATTGCTTACACTTATATAGCGCTTACCTGGACACTCCACTCAAAGCACTTTCCAGGTAATGGGGATCCCCTCCACCACAAATGTGCAGCCCCACCTGGATGATGCGACAGCAGCCATAGTGCTCCAGAACACTCCCCACACATCAGCTCTCAGTGGGGAGGAGAGCAGAGTGATGAAGCCAGTTCAGAGATGAGGGGTTATTAGGAGGCCATGATTGGTAAGGGCCAATGGGAAACTTGGCCAGGATGCCAGGGTTATACCCCTACTCTTTTCGAGAAACACTCAGGACCTCGGTTTTACATCTCATCCGAAGGACAGTGCCTGTTTACAGTATAGTGTCCCTGTCACTATACTGGGACATTAGGACCGGCATGGACCGCAGGGTGAGCACCCCCTGCTGGCCTCACCAACACCTCTTCCAGCAGCAACCTTAGTGTTTCCCAGGAGGTCTCCCATCCCGGTACTGGCCAGGCTCACACCTGCTGAGCTCCAGTGGGTAGCCAGTTGAGAGGTGCAGGGTGATATGGCTGTGGCAGATTATACCAATCTCTGTAGAGGTTTCGAGAAAACAAGATGTTTCAGCAGAAGGCACTGCTGCCCTGACCCTACTGCACCTTCAACAGTACCTTCAGCACCTTACCCAGCATGAGCAGCTCTCCCTGCTTACACAAACCTGGGCTTTAATACTTCTCCTTATCAGATGTGGGTTGCTCAGACATGATTACAGAGTTGGCATCAACCACGTCCCTGCAGTATGAACAGATCAGGTCAGCTGTACGAGTGGAGGTGAGATCATCAGAAGTGTGGTGCTCTTGCCAGGGTAAATGACTGGAAGTGGCTCTTCGACAGGTGGAGCCACAACACCTTCTAAAGCAAGAACAGGAAAAGGAGGCCATCATTTTTACAGCTAAGCTTGTCCGTCTTTGCTGGCCCTCTCTGATGAACAGCAAGGGCAATCAATAAATGGAAACAAAGTACAGGTACAAGCAAGCACTGTCACTCCAACAAGGAAATGGACCCTCTTATCTAGTGAACCCTCTGCCGCTTCGGAGATAATAACTCTGGAGCACAATTGAGTTATTCATAGGCTCTGGTACTGTACAGCTCTGGTAAAAGAGTAATAATCAAGTGGAAAACATTTATTAATAAGACAGCAGAAAGGACAACTCAAAAGGGTGTATATTCTTAAAATACATCACTGACTGGGAGTGGAGATTAAGTTTAGCTTGATCTCCCTACCAAAGAATCCAAGGTCGACACGTGAAATCAGAACATGTGGCCAAGGAATGTGCAGCGCTGGACTGTAAGGTGGTGAATTCAGATGCTGCTTGTGAAAGTACAAAAGTGCCTTAGGCTGAGGTTTCCACAATACAAAAAATCAGAATGTCCTAAAATAAATACGACAACAAGCTCTCTAAAATAATGTTCGGATTATTTATGCTGAACCTGGTCTCCCAGACTGACCAGAACACAGGTCCTTGATCATCTGTGTTTACCTGCGTCTTAACCCAGCTACAGCTAGACAAACACTTGAAACACACCAGTGATCTTAGACAGAGTATAAATCAATCAAAATGTGAACTGCCAGCAACACAGCCCGTGGCTCACAGCAAGACCTACAACTGAATCACACAGTCGAGTCCAGCAAAAGGGCAAATTATTTTTTTCCTGCAGCTCGCACACTCAGTTTAGCCCAGATCAGCCTCCTCGAAACTCGATTCAATACTGTGCATCAGTCTATACTTGTAGCAGTCTGCCTTACAACATGGCAAAACCTGGCCTGGATCAGACTGCTGTACAATGGGAGCCCACTGTGCAATGCCAACAACTCCGATTCGGGACCAGAGGCTCAACAGGCCAGAACATACCCTGGCTTCTGTAGTGTTGAGCAGGAACTGCGTGACTCTTTTTTTAGGTGGATGCAGATCCATTTGCAGGGTTACCTCAGTGGAACCGATACTCATTCATCCAGCCAGGGAGACTGGATCAGTAGGGGTGACGTAATTACTGAAGGAGTGAAGGAGTGAGGAGTCCCCCACCTCCCAGCGAGGACTTCAGAGCGCCCTTCCAGCCAATCACAGAATCACAATTTTGTGCACAGCATGGATGTGAAAGACTGTATATATAGCGTGCAAAGGAACAAGTAATAGGTTTATCCCATGTTGAAAAAAGAAGACAGAAGACTTCTTCACACCTGAAGAAGGCTCCACGGCCGAAACGTTGTGTTTTCTGTCTTCTCTTTTCAGCAGGGAATAAACCTATTACTTGTTCCTTTGCAGCCTACGCCTGCTGACGCAGCTCCCCACCTGAACTATATATAGCGTGTTTGTAATAATAACGGGGACCATCAAATTAAAAAAATCAACTGATACAGCAGAGGAGTAATAATAATGGCTATCATAAACTAAAAAAAAATGAACCGAGAGGACCGGACTTTGGTACCCCGGTGGTTTCTACAGCCCTGGTGCGTCAGCGTCTGGGTGTCCTCCCCCACTTCACCGGGCCTCCGGCTGGGCTGCGTGGCCCCACAGTGTCCAATCAGCCAGCAGCATTCGCTCAGCTGCCCCCCCCCATCCCCTGCAAACGAACCATAAATTGTGCAAACAGCTGAGCAGATAACAGAGGGCACCTGGGACACAGTTCACTGGAGCCGGGAAGCCAGCGAGCGGAGGAACGAGAGATTTGGGGTGAAGAGAAAAAGAAGGGGAGCTCTTCTTTCGGGCTCTTGGCATCTCTGTTTCTTTGCCCCTTACTTCCGAGCGGAAGGGAGAAACAGGACAGCGAACCCGCAAAGAGGACTTTCGTCCTCAGCCCCTGCGTGTCAGTCTTTCTGTCTTGACAAGGAGAGAGCGACACAGGAAGGGAGAAGCGCTCTGAGGAGCCACTTTTAAAGGCACTGTAAAGCGTTGGTTATTCGAAAAGGCCCGGGGACTGGCTACAGAGTAGGGCAGCTCCTACTCCACCTCTTTCCGCCGCTCGCTGGGATCCTGGAGGGCTCTCTCCGCCATGTGTACCGGAAAGTGCTCCCGGCTGATCGGGCTGACGCTGCTCACCTCGGCCTTCTGCTGCATCATCGCCAACCTGCTCCTGTTCTTCCCCAGCGGCACCTCGCCGGACATCAAGCACACCAGCCTGCAGACCTTGCTCATGGGCGGCTTCCTGGGGGGCGGCCTGTTCGTGAGTGTGCACCTCTTCGCCCCCGTGTGTCCCCAGCTGCCGGGGCCCCCGTGGCCCCTGTCACTGCAGTAGTCGTGATCCCCCTCCAGCTCCTCAAAATCTCCAACCTGTCTGCTCTGTGCTGGCATTAAGACAAGAGGCTTGTGGGTCACGATGTCCAGAGGGATCCACATGCTGTGCTGTGTCTGTCTGATCACTTTCCCTGGTCTGAGTCTTAAACTAGTTCAGCAAAACCCTCAGCTTCAGGGTTTAAAAATGTCCTGTCATTTGCCAAACCGCTTTATACCGTACGGTGTCGCGGGAAGCCGGAGCCTACCCGGCAAGCAGCGAGCGCAAGGCAGGGCACGCCCAAACAGTACCCTGAGAAACGGTTCACTTTGGAGAAGTTACTGAACTTTGAACAGTAACCCCAGCCTTTGATGGCCACGTTAGTCTCGTGCAGCTGAAATCCCATCAGATTGTTAAATAGCACAGGCTGACCGGCAAACAAACATGGCAGCATTTCTACAGAGGAACCAGTGTCTTAGGGTACGGGGGAGATGCTGGGGCAAACTGCCGACATTCCTCAGTTCCTCCAGGGTTCGGACAGGAGCCCCTCTGTCCCCGGTGTGAGGGTGTCAGTCTGTCCATCGCCAGGGCCTGCCAGTGAGCCGGAAGAAAGAAGGAAGCTCACTACCGGCCTGGGCTGTGTGTTACAGATGCTGTGTCCGAGCTGCTCCGCCATCAGAGCCGGAGGCAAGGGCTGCTGTGGAACCGGGTGCTGTGGAAACCGTTGCCGGGTGAGAGAAAGGGGGCGGAGGCGGTTTGCAGTTGCTCGCTCCTGATTGGTCATTTTCAGATGTGACACAATAATGATGTACTGTGCTGCTCTGATCTATTACATTCCTCCCTTTCTGTATTCCAGACTCTCGTTCCCCAGCCCAAATTCGAAGCATACAACAGCTGCTCAGTCACTTACCTGAGAGGCAGGACAGAGGAGGGAGGCTCGTTAGGCTCGTTGTGAATGTCCACGCTAGGTCTCAGGCTTCAGTTGATTTGTTGAGGGCTTGAGAACAGAAAAGGACTTCTTTACACATAGAGTGGTGGAGGGAGGCAGTTAGAAAGTAAGAACAGAACCACGTGGCTGTACTGTTAAGGCACACTGCCACCTTGTGGATCCTGCAAGGAAGGGGTGGGGGAGACAAGGTTTTGGGATCAGGCAGCTTTGAAGGGTAATCCTGTCCAAAAGGATGACACCCAGCTTCCTACTTCTTTTTAGGATTTGGCTGGTATGCTAAGTCTGCAGGTTCAGCTCTGCAGGTTCCACTACTGTACCAAGGACAATTAGGGAAACAGCACAGCGGTACAGTACATTACATTTAGGAATAAGCAAATCAAGACTTCGAGTGCTGGGGGGTTAGAATGTTTTCACAAAACGTAAAATACAAACGTTTACTTAGTACTGAAAGATCTAAAAAGAAATGACACAAAAAAGGCATTACAAGCTGGGTCAGTATTTTGTACGATTGAAAGAGCTTCCAAACGAAGGCTAGGCGCTCGTGAGCACTGCCCTCTGCTGGAGAAAGGCGGTCACTACACCACCTGCTGTTGGACCAGGCTATTTCTCATGAGCTACTGTACGTTGCACAAAACTTTAAAAAGGAAAACTATGGTTATATTAATTATATATTATGCTAACAAGAGGGGCACACAATCTTTACTGAAAATCTGCGGAAGACAGACATTTATAGATGGTTTACTCTCACCCCTCCTTAGATGAGCACTCACTTCAATAAGAGACACACTGTACACACAGCTATTTTTGTGACATGAATTACAGTCACTTCCTGGCTAATGCAAGCGCCGAGTGTGTTTTTACTTTGTTATTACCTCCTCTCAGCTGTTGACATCTTAATCATCACAACAAATTAAAAGGGTATTTGACTAGTTATGGTGTCGAATAGTATTTTGAATGCACGATTTGTATGAATAATAATGAATCACAAATTTAACATTTCATACAACGAATGCATACAGCTGAAGGCCCTAGTCTACCTTAGTTCTGGGTCTCAGGCTGATATTTAAAAATAGCAGTTTGCATTAAAAAGGGTGTGTGACCCTCTGTGTCTCTCCAGATGCTGAGCTCGGTGTTCTCCTCGGTGTTCGGGGTACTGGGGGCTCTCTACTGCACCAGTGTGGCCTCTGCAGGGCTGGCCCGAGGACCGCTGTGCTTGAAGAATGAAACCCTTGAGTGGGGCTACCCCTTCGCGGACACGAAGGGCAAGTGAGTGCCCCTTCCTGCCCCTCCGTTCGGATCAGAAGACAACGCTCTAAACCTGAAGCATGCCGTTTTAAGCAGCTGCATACTTCAGATTGTGTTCTTTGGGTTGGGGGAGCTTTTTTTGTGGCGGTGTAGGGAAGCCTGGGGAGATGTTGACTGTGTTTCCCATTTGTACAGTGAAGACAGTGTTCTTCCCCTCTTTTCTCTCTCTCAACCCTGTCACTCCCCTGCCCCCACTCGAAGCTACCTGGTGGACGAGGGGATCTGGTGGAAGTGCTCGGAGCCGGAGAACATCGTGCTGTGGCACATCGTGCTCTTCTCCATCCTGCTGGGGCTGGGCGGGCTGGAGCTCATCCTCTGCGGGGTGCAGGTCTTCAACGGCTGCCTGGGCTGCATCTGCGGAGACTGCCGCAAGAAGGGAGGGAGAGAGGTGGGTGAAGCGCGGTGCTCTGTCTGACGAGAAGCCTCTCTCGTGGGTGCTGGGGTCCCAATGGCACGGTTGGGCCCAAGGGGCACAGGAGAGATTTTAAGTAACTCTTAAAGATGTGTTCTGTTTAGTTCATATACAATAGGGATCATGGGAAACAGCTTCCTGCAAAGTGTGGCCAAGACTGTTGAACTCTGGGAGATGGAGTTTTCTGACTTGCTGTGCTGAGGTTGTAGGATGTCCTGCCTCAATGCACCCACAATCCTCAAAGTGTACATTAGGCCCTCATCTAGAAGCTCCACTTTTAATCTCCCACGTTTTTGTTTTTTTCCCAAAACACACACGGCTTTAAGGAAACTGGACCTTTCAGCTTTGCTTGTCCATAAAAAATGAGACTGAACCCCTAAAATAATGAATGCGTGCCCTTTCACCCATCCTCTCAATCAAGAATCAGGAATTTCAGGAATCTCTGCTCACACTGCACACAGAAACTACAGAGCCTCCTTCTTTATTTGTTCAAGTCTCAAAAGAACTATGGTCTCTATAATAAGACATCCCACTACATGTAAAAAATCCTTGCATTTATGATGTTTTTCAAGGTGCTAAGGAGCAGCAACGCAGAGGACTGTGAATTATTCTGTTCTGGAATTAAAAAAATGTTCAAAGAAAAATCTAATTTAATCTAATCTAATTCTAATTTAAATGTTATTACGCGAAGATTATGATTGATTATGCCTCATTATTAAACTTGAAATCTTATTACCATGCAAAATGTCGTTGATCCAACTGATGGATTCAGGTGTGATCACTAACTTCAAATGCATGAACAGTGTAGAAAGAAAATCTGCCCTTAAGCACCAAATGATTATTGCTGTGGACGAGACCACAGTTCGAAAGGAGCTGGTAATGCTATCCATTTCTGTTTGTTTTATTATGGGCTATACATTAAATACTGTATAGTATACAGTATATAGCTGTATCTGAACTGTCTCTAGCTAACTACATTATTCCTTATGGAGATTAATTCCCCTCCCGAGTCTATAAATTGCTTTATTAAGGAATGTAACTGGACTTAACAGGGCCATCTGTACTGTATCTGGGTAGTTACAAGTAAAACAAACTCAATCTACTGTCATTTATGGTTCCTAACCTTACTTTATTCATTAATTCTCATGGGAAAAGCCTCCCGTTTTTAAGGCAAAGTTTAAGGCATTATTACAATTCCAAACCTCCATATTTCCACTATCCTTAAAGAGAATTACCTTTATACATCATTTCATTTTGTCACGGCAATCTGGATCACTGACGTCCAGTATAATGGGTCTGCCTGTGTATTCTTTGTTCTTATTTATTTGCTTTCTTTGCATTCCAGGGTGATGGAGGTTTGTGAAAGTCACAAGATCGTGAGCGCCAGACAAACCACTCCAGAACAACTCAATTTTCTTCTGCTTGGAAGGGAGAGAGACCAGACTCCCACTGCACAGCAGTCTGATCCGGCTACAGGAGCATGCTGCATAGACACTGGTTGCTGGTTGCTGGTGAATTCATGCTTATTAGATTAGAGGTTCTCATTCTCCTGACATGTCACGTTTAAGTACTGTAGCAATTACACATTATTCTGCTTTATTAGTAATTTATTAGTTTCTGCTTTATCAGTACAAAAAAGTACACAGCAGCCCTGCAACTGGTAAAATCCTAAAAGGATCACACTGCTATGCATGAGTTGGATCCACTATGTTATTGCAGGGAATACTTCTGATTGGTCAAATCAGATCTGATCATTTATAATAAGATTGCTTTAACTCAGCTTTTTTTCTCTTGGCTGATTTAGGTAGGGCTCTACTTTGCATATAGCATATGCAAAGTACGATATACAATCAACCATATGGTTTTAATAAACAGAAACCCAGCTGGTAATGTAATTTCTGTCTTTATTTTGTTGCATTATATCTTCATTATAATGGTAAAGAAAAGTATAGATATGTTTCAGAAAAAGTGTTTGCAAAGAAACTTAAGGGAACCCTGTAACATACTTGGGATGCCATGAGCCTCTCATGAGACAGTTAGGGTGCCCTCAATACTCCCCTGTGTCTTCAGGTCTGTAGCATTGCAATGGTGTAGTCAGTTCAGTACCATTGTCAGGGACTGCACAGCCCTGCTGCTTCTCTGTGGTGCCTTCAGCTCTACAGAAAAACCACAGCATTGTCAGGGTGTTCTGAGCCCTATAGTTTTACCAGGGAGCAATCAGCACTATAGAAATACCATGGTATCGTCAGTTGTTCTCACCTCTATTGCACTGATAAAGTGTGAACAGTTCAATAGTACTGTACATCATTCTACAACATTATCACAGTACAGTCAGTTAAATAACTTTGCCAGGTTTTCTCAGCCCTATGGCATTGCGAAAGTGCCAAACTCTCAGGGGTCTGGATGGCGCGATGCACCGCGCGGTAATTGTATCCCAGAACTGAGTCGGTCGGTTGTAACCAAGTATTATTGAATCTCATTCAAATGCAAGAGCTTTTATCAGTCTTGATTGTTTCCCACTCATACTTTGTGGATTGGGGAACATGTGAAAATCCTGTTTCAAGGAAGTTCAGATATAGATTGTGGAAATGCTCAGTTGACACCCCAGGAAGGGTTAGCATTCACACACTTTTTAGACCATTTTAAGCTCAGGGCTGGATTTGGGGGCCCAAGTCGAGTGGTTTTTTGCTCCTATCTGAATTTTTTTTTAAAAGGAAAATCCCTGTGGCCTGGATGGTGCGATGCACCGTGTGGTAATTGTATCCCAAAACTAAGTTGGTCGGATCAAAAGTTGTAACCAAGCCTTGTTGAATCCCATTCACTTGCAAGAGCTTTGATCAATGGTCTTGATTGTTTCCCACTCAAACTGTTTGGTTAGGGGAACATGTCAAAATCCTATGCCCAGAGAAGTTCAGATATAGATGGCAGAAATGTTCAGTTGTGTTAGGGTTTGCATTCACACACTACTTGGACATTTTTTAAGCTCAGGGCTGGATTTTGGTCCCAAGTCAGGTTTAGGACAAGTGGTTTTTGACCTCCTATCTGAAATTATTTTTTTCAGAAACTCCGAAGGGCATGGATGCCTCGGTGCACCGTGCTGCATTTGTATCTCAAAACTGAGTCGGTCAAATCAAAAGTTGTAACCTAGCATTAGTGAATGTCATTCAAATGCAAGTGCCGTTATCAGTGGTCTTCTTTGTTTCCCATTCTTTCTTTTTGGTTTGGGGAACATGTCAAAATCCTATGCCCAGAGAAGTTCAGATATAGATGGCAGAAATGTTCAGTTGACACCCCAGGTAGAGTTTGGGTTTGCATTCACACGCTTTTTCAAGCCCAGGGCTGGATTTTGGGTCCCAAGTCAGGTTTAGAACAAGTGGTTTTTACCTCCTACCTGAAAAGTCCAACAACATGTCTTAGGAAGGTCACCTCCCGCCACACAAGCTCACACTTGCGGGGGTTGAGCCTCGGGCCAGCACCGCCTGGAGGTTTGTCAAGGCCCGGTCGAAGCCTTGGGCATGGACCAGCAGGTCGTCCAGGCACAGCACACACTGGTTCTGCGGGACCGATGCCAGCACCCTCTCCATCAGCCTCTCGAAGGTCGCCGGGGCATTGCACAGGCCAAAGGGCATGACAGTGAACTGCCAGAGGCCCTGGCCGATGGAAAAGACCGTCTTCGGGCGAGCTTCGGGAGCGAGCGGTACCTGCCAGTAGCCGCAGTGGAGGTCAAGGGAGCTGAACCGGGTCGACCCGGTGATGTAGTCCAAGGCGTCGTCTATCCTCGGCAGGGGGTAGGAGTCTTTCCGGGTGACCTCATTCAGCTTGCGGTAGTTTACGCAGAACCTGTCACGCCCTCTGTAGCCAGAGGGCGCTCCTTCTCTGTCCTGTCCCTAGTTTTCCGGTCTGCTGTCCTTCCTGTCCCTCTCTTTCCCTTGGGCTATATATTTCCGGGTCTTGCACTCTGTCCTCACTCAGCATTGACGTTCGGATGTCCTGAGACCCGCCTAGCACCAGGGCGCCCCACGTCCGCTCCCTGAGGGCACAGGTTTCTATACGGCATTCCTGAACTCTTTGCACTAATGAGCCCGGGCCTTTTTCCGCTCTCCTGCTCCCCACGGTTAGTCCCTTTGGACGTCCGTGACAGAACCTCCACGAGCCGTCTTTTTTTGCGGACCAGCACAGCTGGTGCAGACCACGGGCTCGCGGAGGGCTCAGTCACCCCCGCTGTGGCCATCTTGTCCTCGGCGGCGGTCCTCTTGGTGTGAGCCATGCGCCGCGGTGGGATGCAGATGGGCCGAGCTTCGCCGGTGTCGAAGTCGTGTTGGACCAGGGCAGTGCGAGTGCAGCCCTGCCACGAAGAGGTCCTCGCTCTGGGCAAGTAGCGCCTGCGGCCGCTGCTGCTGGTCCCGACCGAGGCCCTGGCAGCTTCACTGGTGCAGGTCCTCAACGCCGTTGCTTCCAAACAATGCTCGGCCCCCGCCACGGCTGCCTTGTCTGGCCCCCTTGGTGACTCAGGGGCAGGAACCGGCACGCTCGCTCCTCGGCTCATGGGCCCGTTCCACCCCGGCTCCAGCAAGCCTGCATCCCTCGGCCCTCGCCGAGCCTGCCCTCCACCAGGTGAAGTCGCTCTCCCTGCCTCACCAACTCCTGCCGGCCCAAGTCCAAACTGGCCCCTGCCCACTGCAGCAGGTCCAGCCCCAGGATGCACTCCTGGATGGGTGTGAGGTAGCAGGGGTGGCGCACTGCTGTTATTCTTCCATCAAAACCAAAACCAACACAGGATTTACACACACATAAGGCGACAGAAGACGTACACAGGTTTAGGGTGGTAACTCGTTAACAGAAGACTACACACTTACAAAGCTACACAGGACACTTACTGTAAACTAATATAACACTGTTTAAATAAGCAGGGTCAGCTGCTGGTCATCGTGCTGACTCTCAGACTCCCCCCGGCTACAACTCCTAGCCTGTTTCGCGGTACCCTGAGTGCCTAGGTGCGCTTCCTCCTCACCACCGGGCGAAGGCGCTACAATATATCAAAAAGCAGGCGGTATGTTGCCGTACGTCCACCGCGTTTAAATGAAGCATACCTCGCTCATTTCAAATGGCTGGATCTGGTTTTTTCCTAATAAACCTGTTTCGGGTACAGTTAGACCCTACAAAGATGGCCGACCGAACTCACAAATTGTACACCCGGGGAAAGCTATATCTCACATCAGCAGCATACGGAACAACCGTATAACACGCAAGACTATATCAGTCGAGATCGGCTCGATCGATGAGGAAGTTTGGGAGAGAAAAATAACTCGTGGTGTGAGAAGAGAATTAAAGGTAGAAATTCTGGTGCTTTGAATGCTGTAGATTGTCATACGGGAACGATTATTGGATTGCGGATTACTATGTGGTTGTTGAAGTTGTTGCAGACAATAGCGTCTTAGACTAAGATATGGAGACATCTAAAGTTGTCTAAACTTTCAAGGAAAAGCCACGGAGGTACAGTACTATTTTTAAGAGTCTGGCTGATTGTTTATATTGCTTAAACCTGTCCGTTACGTCACTTTTTACCTGACCGCCCCCCTGTGACATTACACCACACACAGTCCAAGTTCCCAGGCCCGGTTCAGACTAGTAACCAGAGGAATTAATGGCTGTAAGTGGTGCATCGGATCATCACAGTCGTTATAAACATAACTAAAGAAGTCAATGCAAGTGCTTTCGAGATGCTGCAAAACATAGTCAGAAAACATTCATTTTCACTAAGCATTTTGAACATAAACATACAGTAGGTTATCATTTTAATGATTGAATTTCTCAGACATCCATCAAACACCAACTGTAATTCAAAGTACAATAATGTGGTAAAAAACTCAAAAGGTTAAAATGTACAAAAAGCAGTCCGACGTTTGCTTTTCGTAGGCGATCCCCAGATAATTGCTGGCTTCTGGTGAAAAGAGTGTACCTGGCCATCTGATTTCTCTTGTGGATCCAGACTGGTCTCTTCTTCTTCTCCTTCCTCAGAGTGCTATTGCAAGCTGGATGATATACAATACCAAGTGCTATTACTTTGCCAATAACTATACCTGGACCCAGATCAGAGACACGTTTCCAGTATAAGACTGGAAGGACAACTGGTGACAGAACAGTGAAAACCAGGCAAGATAATGTTTTTAAATTTGCTTTTTATTGAATTTTTATTGGCCCAGATGCAAATTTCTCGAAAGCTCGGTTTCATTCCCAGACACTGTTTGCAGTGTGAGTCAGTATAGATTTAGCCAGTAAACCAGTCTTGATCTCTGCACAGTGGTGCACTTTCACAGCCAGCCACAGCTAGGTTCCTGTGGAAACTTTTCCAAGGCGGGCTGTGTGCATTCTGTGCAGAGGAATGCACAGGAGCGGAGCTCAGTGATATCATCAAGGGACAAGAACGTGATGGAGCTTGTGCTTTTTCGCTAAAAAATGCTGTTCGCAAAGGGATAAGAGGATAGTATGTTGCAATACTGTATTAAACCCAACCAAGCAACGGATTACACAAGAACACGAAGAAGGTTGCCTTCTGAGGGACTGTTCTTTACAAATATATGAGAAGCAAGGAAAGCTTCAACGAATTCAAAATAAATAAAAATCTGGTATGTGGAAAAAAGTGTCAGCTTTGTTTAAGAATCAGTTACAGCTGTGCAGCAATCAGCAGTACACATTCTGTAGTATTGAAGACAGTAATTCATGGGATTGCATAGAAGAAACATGCAGCCATTTGCTTTCCAGTATATGAAATACTTATTGAATATTAAAAGTTTTCCCAGTGTCCACTCAGCAACCATTCATTGTCGGTTTGGAATACTGGTGGTAGCTTGTCCTCATCCTGGTTACACTGCATTACCACAGTAAGACATGACCACAACAAATGGTCAGTTACAGAGAATTCTCTAACTGACCAACAACAGGCCTGTTAATGACTGACGGTGGTTTACTATGCTAAAAGCTTCTTATGGCCAGTCCTTACTCAACAACAAGCAGCCAGGTCACCCTGCAACTCAGAACTGATAGCCCACTGGAGCTCAGCAGGTGTGAGCCTGGTCAGTACCTGGACGGGAGACCTCCTGGGAAAGCTGAGGTTGCTGCTGGAAGAGGTGTTAGTGGGGCCAGTAGGAGGCCCTCACCATGCGCTCTGTGTGGGTCCTGATACCCCAGTACAGTGACAGGGACACTATACTGTAAAAAGGCGCTATTATGGATAAGATGTAAAATCGAAGTCCTGACTCTTTGTTGTCATTAAAAATCCCAGGGTGTTTCTCAAAAAGAGTAGTAGTATTACCTGGCCAAATGTCTCCCTGGCCTTTACCAGTCATGGCCTTCTAATAATCCCCATCTCTGAACTGGCTCCATCACTCTGTTCTCCTCCCACTGAGAGCTGGTGTGTGGTGAGTGTTACTGGTGCAATATGGCTGCCGCCACATCACCCAGGTGGGGCTGCACACTGGTGGTGGTGGAGGAGAGTCCCCATCACCTGTAAAGCACTTTGAGTGGAGTGTCCAGAAAAGTGCTATATGAGTGTAAGGATTATTAGTATTATATGTGATTAATGCTGAGTGCTGATAAGAACGTGTTGCCTTACAGGGTAACATTTTGCAACGCTTCCCCCTTCCATTTGAAATGCAGCCCGCCAGACAGCTCATTTTCCCAAAACAACAGTGTGTTCTCCCACATAGCCAGTGTCCACAGCCAGTCCACCATCAGGTCATCTTAACTGCTTATTGAATTATTAATCTGAACCAGGTAGGATACTTGTTATATGAACCTTCACGGAGTCATATCTCTATTGTGTTTCTTGAGCTGTGTTTCATTGTCTCTTAGAATAAACAGCACAAGACAATTCCAAATGCATATATATTTTTTAAATATATTTTTTGCTATGATTTCATTGGGAACAAAACTCATGAGAAACAGTGAATATACTGCACATATTCGATTCACCTCCAATTAGATTGGATGATGACAGAATGAACACCTCCCATTACCTACTAAGACCTGTCACTGATTACCTTGAACAAGGTACTCTATTCAGACATCTACAATACAAATGACCACATGCATAAATGGTTACTTATGTTGGATAAAAGCATCAACCATGTAAATTAATAAATACTCCAGTAGCAGAAATGAGCTGAGGGCCAGCTGGGAAGGTGATGAACATGGTTCTGAAGGGAAAATGTACTCAAATTGAAAGACTTCACTTCACTTCACTTTTACATGATTTAATTACCAATTCAGTTTTACTTTTCTTTCATTTCTGTTTTAAGATACTAACAAGAACATGGAATTAAAAAACTGTCACCAGACACAGAAGCACTGAAATGACAATTACGCAGTAACTGTACCCCATGTGTATAATACGTGCCCTTTTCATACAGATCCATACTGTACTGTGGCCCGCAGAGACAAGAAGGTGTTTTTTGGGTGATTCTTGTATCATGTGGTGCTAATGATCACCCTTCTCATTATTATTGTGATGAAGCTTAGTGTGGCAATTACTGTACATGCAAGGCTGCACAACCCCTCCCTAACTCAGTGGGGTGCTGGAGTGGCTCGTCTGTTGAGGATGGTGTGACACTGTTCACATCTTCGCCATGTCAGAAATGGCCTTGCACTTATAGCGATGGCAGTTCAGCGCACCTTAATCTACAAATTGGAAACCAAATAAACAAAGTCTAATCACGACACTAACAGACCTCGCCTAAACCGCGGGAAAGGCCAACCCTCTAACCTAATACGATTCCACAGCAGAGACAACAAGACAGCAGCTGAGTCAGCCTGTGCTGCTCCACCCTTTAGCCACCCTGCTCTCAGACTAACACAATGGGAGGTATGCAGCACAAGGGCATGGATCCCCACTACAGCAGTTAATTGCAAAACATTTTGCTTTTAGCCAAAAGACAGGTAGTGCAGGATTTCTAACAATCAATGTTTCACGTAAGGCTGCAAAGGGAATCTCTTCCCACGCTCCTGCTGAAATGAACCTCACCATCTACGAACTGAGCAAATTCTCTCTTCTAAAGAGAATTATTGTATCTATGCAAACAGACATGCAATCACCTGAGGGTCACAGTTGCAGTTACGTTTCAGTGAACCGCTAGCAACTGTGATCTGACACAGGGGAGAGGAACACGACGAGACCGGGAACATGATAGCCTCTTAACACAAGTGTTTTTTATTTGTATTTAAAAAGAAAGCATATCAGAATAAAAAAACAAAGTATATTATCCCAAGGCTAAGTTTTTTGTACAGGTGCTTTCCCTTCCTGTGGTTCTTTATGCACTTAGGCTCCTCTGGGTTCAGGTTTCTCTGAAATGCGAGATAAAAGTCAGAGGTGGTCAGAGATCAAATGACACACTTCTCGCCACAGCCCCTCCGGATGACAAGTAGCGATCCCAGCTAACAGAATATTGTCCAAGAGATTCTGGGTAACCTGAACTTGCATTGTCCCCACACGAGCGACAGTAGTCCTGTTAAGGGAAATACAGGACCTGAGCGCATGGGAGCTGTTGGCTCTCGCCTCTGACCCCCAGACACCAAAAGGCAAGACCATTCCTGGGAATGAACCCTTGACACGGCCACAGGGAAACAAGGAACAGGTCTGCCCAGCCGCAGGAGCCTGGGTTATGTCGTGATGTGTCGTTCTTCCAGCCCAGTGCTTCTTAGCTGCTGGCCCTTCGAAAGCCCTCTATTGCAGCCCTCAGATATAACTAGCATCTTATCTATGACATTGGCCTTGCTCATTAGTTATGAAAGAACGAAGGAGCTGGTTGTGGTATCTTTCTGCACTGCAGAGGATGAGAAGTGCAGAAGTTCAGTAGCCCAGTTCACAAGCGTGGCCTCATGAATGGACTCCCCATTCAATTGCATACAAAAGAACTCATTACACCCAGGCACCCCCGCAGTTCCACAATGGTTATGTTCCATACCACCTGGCTTTCTCTCAGCCCCTCTCGGTAACGAGCACGCACCTGTTAATTAAGGCCAAGTCCCGCTGTCCTGCTTCTACTTCTCCTCTTGACACTTTCTACAGAACAAAAGGGACACCCACTGCAGTACGTACAATAAAACTGTAGTTCAAGCAAAGAGCATCACATCACATCATGTAACGTAGACGTTCACATATCTAAATTCCTAGAGCTGATCTGAATGCTTTTCAGCCATGACTAAAGGAGTACTACTGGAAACAGATACCTGACATTATATCAGACAATGCACCTGTAACACGCAAGACAATGCAGAACAAGACTGCTTCAGGTTACACACATCTTTTTACGGGAAGTTGAATTTATATAAAGTCAAGGACATGAACAGTACCTCTACTCTATTATAACTGTGCAGTCTTCTTCAACAAGTAAGCTCTTTAATTCCCTACACTACGCTGGACTTCTAACACGCGTATAAGTGTAAGGAATTAGCATCATCATAATTAAGTAGAAAACAGCATAAGGTTTATGGAGCCCAAATTATAGGGTTACATTGTACTATTAATGTCAACCAAATGCAGGTTTTAAAAATTTGATTTAGTGTATGTAGGTAACACAAGCTGCTTATTATTGTCATAACTTTTGTCTCACATGGAGAAGGAAAATTCAACACTGGGTTTGACAAGACAGTTTGCAGAAATGATACAGCTGGATTTGTAAAAGTCAACAGGGACTTAAAACTGCCACGCCCATTACATTTGCTAAGGGTGTTCAGTACATCCTTGTCATCAGCTCTATAATAAACATACCAAACAAACAGGGAAACCACCACACCTACAGTACTAACACAAGTTGTTATATTTTAATATATAGAAGAAAGTAAGGCTAATGGTTAAGTAACTTTATAAACCAGAGTGTGATTTAGAAAAAGCAGCAGAATAGTTTATACAGAAAAATATGAATAACAAATAATGTTTTTAATTGTTCCCATTTTTTATCACTTGATTCAAAGCATTTTTCAAAAGCCACAATGCTTTTAAAAGGGATTTTAAATGGGATTAAATGCAATCCAACTTTATTTGTCATTATACTTACAAGGGTGCATAGTATAGTGAAATGTGTTTCTCATGAGTCTCAGGTGCAGCATATACTGTATATATAGAACAGCAGACAAGACAATAGACAGAAATACAATAACAGTGTAAACAAGAGTATGGTGCCAGTGCAAAAATGTCAAAAACACACAGAGAAAAGTACAGTATACAAACAGGACAAAAACAGAGCAAAAGTAATACGGCAAACAGTGCAAAAATAATACAGAGATGATTAAATAGTACAACTTGTACAGTAGTACAGCTTGTACTAGTACAACTAGCTACTCTTTGAAGGATAGGAACAACAAGCACACAAATTCAGAGAACAATTTTACAACAATGCAAACAAGAATCCTAATTAAATCCAAACCTAGTGCTGCACACTGTTGCAAGCACATGCCTACAGCGGTAACCTCAGATTCTGGAATTAGAAAAGGTAAAACTGACATTGTCTTATTAGGGTTAAGGTAAATATGAGACTAGATCTGGAGCAGTCTGCCTGTCTGAAGCCCCACCACCCTGCCAGAAGGAAGGTTGAAAATTCCAGGAGCACATGGGACAAATCGTGGAATAACAGAACTTGCTGAATAGAAGCAGTTAGAATGGGTTTGTTTAATGCTTCTGCTCAATGCTAAAACAATAACTAGTAAGCTAGTCATTAAACTGATCATGAACTGCTGCTGATGGTGGTACAGTCCTACCGCTGGTACTGTACAGTTCCGCTGGCTGAAAGCCTGTATTTGTTGCTTTTGTGAGCTCGGTAAAGAAATTGTTTTCCACATCCCAGTGTGACGTAGTCATTTCTTCAACTTCCACCTCTGTCGACCCGGAAAAACAAGTCCTGCTGCTTGTGAGGATAGCGCAGACAACTGCAGTCACAACCATTCAAGAGCTGGAAGCAGAGACTATCAGCTGCCTCACCCTCCCGCTGTTTCAGGTAAGATATCTGTTATGTCTTTGAGTTTCCATTCAAAGTGCGTTTAAGGTCCCCTACTTTGGACTTCAGGAACTTTCACACACCAGGCTGCTTTGGTAGTTTAAATTGTATAGTACATAGCTCTTAAACCTGAACTGGATGATAGTAACAGCACTCCTGGATGAAGACCTGTTCATAACTTAAACAGATCCTGAGGAGGACTGGTGTTAGGTGACCAAATTTAAATGATCTGCCGAACTGAAGGATGGACATTTTAATAGCACAATTTCTGTGCCGTATAATATTCCGAAGGTGTATTCACTACCTTTTCTGTGGAGATGCGATTGACTATCATATACTGTTGAATGGATAACTGAGCCCCACTATGAGAGGCTCTGACAAGCGCACTGGGTGAGTGAGCAACACTGGCTTGATTCGCACAAGATGGGCTGCTTTTCATCGCTTAAAAATATACGTGGCTGAAAAATGGGGACGTCCATCTCGATTTATTTAGTGATCTGTATTAGCATTACTTGGAAAGTCCCTGTCCATAGCCAGATGCAGCTGGTTGTGGGGGCTGTTTTGTCACAGTTTCTGGCAGAACCTCAGGCCTTACTAAGGAAATTTCAGAGCCACCAGACGTTTGTGCTGGACCCCATTGAGACAGCTCCAGTATGCTCCCGCTTACCCAGCCAGTTTGGCCCAGTATCACAACCTCAATCAGTGGCACGGTGGAGGATGGGGGAAAGCTCAGAAAGATTGTCCTCTGTCAGTGTTCAGCACTACACACAGGAGTGATAAGCTCCTCACAGCTGCATTGTAAGCTCTGCTCAATGGTCTTCTCGCTTCTTTGATTATTAAAATATCTTACCACTGCCTGCTTTCAAATTATCATTACGTGATTATCATTAACAAATTAAAATTACTTTAAGCTATCTGATTATCTGATTTTCTATCAAGCCTAGAAATTTACCGATGAAACTGAGAACAATTGTCCCCAGCACAGCTCATTCAGGAAGCACAATTTGGAATGGGAGTGGTGCTGTCCGTCTGGATGAGCTGAAGCCCACATTGATTCTGTTGTTGCAGAGGTCACCGCAGAAGTCCCAGGGGATGGCCCGTGTAGAAGCATATGCTGCTCTGATGGAAGGACTGGACGAGCTGGATTTCAGGTCGTCTGCGATTCCCTGTCATCTGGTGCTGACGGGCGATGACGCCTTCCCTCTGGCCATGAACGACAGGGGCCAAGTCCTGATGGCAGCCTCGCGATACGGGGCGGGCCGCCTGGTAGCCATGGGGCACGAGGACTACCTGAGCCTGCTCCCCGGATTTGTGGAGAACGCTGTGGCCTGGCTAAAGCCAACCCCGGAGGCTAAGGTGGGCATCCAAGAGGCCTGCCGCTTTGTGGCGGACAATCTGTGCTACACGCCCACCAAGACGGAGCTGACCACCTCTTTCAAGAGCGGGATGGGAGTCTACATTACCACCGCCTATAAAGATGACCAGGTGAGCGAGCTCATTGCTTTCCTGAAGGAGGGAGGTGGGCTGCTGATTGCTGGTGAGGCCTGGCACTGGTCCCAGTGCCACGCAAACAAGAACCCTCTCCTGAGTTTCCCTGGCAACAAAGTGAGCAGTGTGGCTGGTATCTACTTTTCACAACACCAGGGGGAGACTGGCATCGTCACCATACCCAAGGAGATCCCCTCCAGCTGGCTGGCTGTTTCGTAAGTACCTCTACACAATCTGACTGATTACGTAAGGTAATGAGGTGGGTTACTGTTCAGCCAGAAGACCCTCTGCTGTCAGGTTGATGCCAAAATAAAATGAGTAGCAGTCTAGTTTACGGGTGACATGGTGGCGAAGAGGTTAGCATTGTTGCCTCACAGCTCTGGGGCCCTAGGTTGAATTCCGGACCTGGGGTGGTGTCTGCAGGGAGTCTGTATGTTCCCTCTGGGTTTCCGTGGGCTTCCTCCTACAGTCCAAAGACATAGTGGTAGGATAACTGGCTTCTGGGAAAATTAGCCTTAGGCATCTGTGTCTACTGTACATCTGTGTGTCTGCCCTGTAATGCACTGGTGTCTTGTCCAGGGTGTGCCCTGCCTTGTGCTGGTAGCCTTCTGCTGGACCTGCAAACTTGAATTGGAAGAAGCAGTTAGAAAGTGGATGGATGGAAATATAGTCTAGTTTACCAAACTACTGTATGTGTTGCACATGGTACCTTTTGTTTCATTGTGAGAGTAATGGGGCAACATCCCACTGCCTGCTCAGTGTTGTCTATAGCAGCAATAAGTAAAAGTTTAGTCCATGCTGAAAAGACCTGAAGAAGGGTCCGCAGCCAAAACTCTGTGTTTCTTTTCTTTTCTTTTCAGCATAAACCCTTACTTGTTCCTTTGCAGCCTACGCATGCTGACCCAGCCACCTGCTTGAACTTCTATAACAGTGACAGGCTGGTAAATGAAACCACAAAGGAAACAAAGAAAAGGGACTTGTAAATAGCTAAAAATATTTTAAACTTTAAATTAAAATATGTACCACAGCTAGCCTCACTTGCCTGCATTCAGAGGCCAAAGGCACCCAGAGACAAGGCAGAAGATCCAGATAGTCTTAGAAACAGTGTCCGGAGAGCTGCCAGCCTGGTATCACAGCGCCCTCTAGTGAGGTGGAAGGAAGCTGGTCTCCACATCCATTTAAAAACACTGACAACAAGTTGAACTATTTTTCCATGCATTTCAATGTTTCTACTAAATTACTTGTAAGAATGTATAAAAAAAAGCTTTATGGGCATTGTGTAGGAGGAGTGACTGTTTTTGTATTTTGATGTTTAGAAATATGTATGTGAATGAGCATAGCTGTAGCTCGCAAAGAAACAAGTAATAGGTTTATTCCATGCTGAAAAAAAGAAGAAAGAGAACACAACGTTTCGGCCGTCGAGCCTTCTTCAAGAGTCATAGCTGTAGCTCTGCTAGGATGTTCTTCATCAAGACTAGAAAACGTAAGGCACTCTGCCTCCTTAATTAATATTTGTTAATATTAACAGTAACAGTTGTTATTATTAATACTATTTATTTTAAATATTAACAGTTAATATTAATAGAGTTAATATTAACTTACTTAATGCCCTTAGTTAATATTGTTCTTAATTTGTTCCTACTGGGTGCAATGGAAATGAATCAGCATCCTTAATCATCGTCCTTTTCATTATCCTTTCTGTTTCCTTGCAATACTGTTTTTCAGGTTTAAGAAAAAGCTTTTTCTTCCTGCTCAGCATCTAATTTGTATTCTATTCTGACCACATTTTCCTTCTTGTTCCCCCTTGTGGACACTGGCGGCCCCTGAAGTATCGGCAAAGACTTCAAGGAGGACCTGGAGTTCCTCCTGGAGGGAGTGAGCGAATTTGACATAAGGGGCGCGGCCTTACCTTCCGAGATCCTGGTTCACGGGCCGCTTGCTTTCCCCATCGGGATGAACGACAACAACCAGAGCTTCCTGGCCGGGGCCTGCTACGGCCAGGGCAAGGTGATCGCCACCACACACGAGGCGTACCTCTCCCACGAGCCGCTGCGGAAGTTCCTCCATAATGCCGTTCGCTGGCTGGACGAGGGTCGCAACGGCCTTGTGGGAGTCCACCCGAACTTGGGTGGAGCCCATGCGCTGTTAAGCCAAGGGGGCCTCCCGTGCGAAAAGACCGAATTCAGTGACAAATTGAGTGTCTACGTCTGCACCTCCTACAGCGATGCCCATGCCGCCGAGATCCAGGACTTTGTGGCAGAGGGAGGGGGACTGCTCATTGGAGGTCATGCCTGGTGGTGGTCCCAGAACCACCCGGGCCAAGACCCTGTGATGCACTACCCTGGGAACCGCATCCTCAACAAGTTCGGCCTTGGTATCCTGGGTTCCACCCTGCAGGCCGGCACTTTCAAGGCGCTGAACGCCGAGGAGATCTTCACCCAGACCTACCATTTCCGAAGGTCGCTGCAGCGGTTTGCAGAGGACGTGATAGAAGGCAAGTCCCTGGAGACACACGAGGAAGCCTGGCTTCCCAAACTGGGGAACGACTGCGCCGGATATCTCAGAATGAAGGCTCTCGACTGTCCCTCCTACACCTCCATCGTCAGCCTGCTCACTGAGATGGTGAAGAAAACGGGGCTCCCCCAGGCCTGCCAGTCTTGCCCCATTCAGAACTCCAAGGACCAAGTGCTCCTCAAGTTGGGCGTCGAGATCTACAAAGTGTGTCCTGACCCTGACTCTCTCCTCCCATTCATTATCAAAGACCGCGAGGACCTACCCACTGTGTCGGATGTAAAGGTTAAGATCAACGCCAACACTGGCAGTAAGAAAGCTTCGATTTCTGACACACTGAACATTTTAGACAGCTACAGTGGCTTTGTAACATAGTGGTATATCACCTTTTCTTTCCGTGTTGAACATGCTATCTGATATTCTGTTGGCACCAGTGTTTTTCTATACTGTTTGACAGTATTTCTCCATCAGAAAAACAACCTTATTTAATTATCGAATGTCTGCCTAAAATGTTCAACCAGCGTCATAAGTACACCTTGTGTAACCCATTTGCAGAAAACAAAATTCACTTCATGTCCAACAGTTTCTCTACAAATGCCACTAGGGAGCTAATTGTAACTCTAGCACTCTTGCTGGGTTAATGTACTCTTTATACAGTGGTTGTCAAGACAACCTTGAACAGAAGGTACGTTTCCTTTTCTGTTTCAGATGCTGTGGAATGGAAAAGCACGGGACTTTATCTTTCTCCCGGCAGCAAAACCAACATTGTTGTGCCTCCAGAAATCGTTGGAAAGAACTGGAAGGTAAACTCTCTCTCACTGTGTCTTAAATCTCAAAGCAATAATTAAATTATCATTCCCTTCCGTTTAACCAATGTCGTGTCGATACCCTGGCAATTTACTATCAGAAATGGCCACAAGTTGCTCCTACCTGCAGTTAACAAATAGTCCGGCTGTGGGTCTCCTCCCTGCCAGGCGACCAGAAGGGAGGAAGACCCCACAGAGCTCTGAGAGGGACCCCCTTCAATACTGTGAATTGCAGGTGCAGATTGGCTGCCAGACGGATTACATTGGGCACTGCAAGGAGCTGAAACGAGCTCCGACAGTCTGCGAGAGCTTCCCCATCGCTTCTGAGAGCACAGAGGTGTCGAACCTGTGGGGGGGACTCATCTATCTCGTGGCACCGGCAAACGTCAGTCTGGGCGACCTAGAAGTCACTGTGGAGAAGGCAGTCCGAGCACCATACTACAAAGGAGGTATGACAGGGGTGGTGCATTATAGCAGAAGCCAGACAGAGAACTGAGTTTTGTGTAAAGGGGGTCCCCAATATATATATTGGGATTGGGGACTAGAAGGTCACAAGCTATGGGGAAAATCCCCCTTCATAAGAACAATGTAAACAATGGAGGATTAGGGACCATAACAACATGAACTTTGCTCATGTGACTTGGAATAGAGTAGGCTAACTTTCACCACCAGCCACGTAAAACATGAGATAACTGCCTTTTTGTTCAACCTAATTCACAAAGCCAACAACTGCAGGAAATCATGACCTTGTGTAGCCAACATCTCAACAGTTAGTCCAGAAAAAATATACATCAGGATGACTTATAAATGGGTACCTCCTGCCTTAACAAATTATGTTACAGATCGCTGAAGATCCTTGACAGGTAGGATTGTTTCTGGAAATACAACAAGATAGAACTGATCAGTTTGACGTTATGTTTCTGGAGTAAGAGGGCTTTAATCTTGTATCTGAAACAGACTCTGAGCACTGCTTTATGGAAAAGAGCACACAAAAGTGAGAACACAACATGAGAAAGCTTATGGACAGCTCACTTAGTACATCTTTGGTTAAGAGGTAATAAAAACAAGGATCTGGTCCAGTGGTTACTTGAAAGAAAATGGGCTAAGATCATTCGATAACCATGTGGTTAGGTCACTTGTTTCAGACTCCCACGCTAGACACACTAGACACTCCTGTTCTCAATTTTTATTTCCCCTCTCAATTTCCCCTTAGTGTGTCCTTACTGTACATCAACTAGTTTGTGTTTCACTGCTGACCTGTAAGGTGGTTTTCAAGGTGAATTGAGGAGAGTGATGCCACAGGGCCATCACTGTACCGTGAACGTGACAAACTGGAGAACGTCTCCCTGGCGGCAGTGCCCACACAGAGATCCTTGCTCCTTCCTCTCCAGGGGAGACCAGCACCTCAGACTGGTTAGGGGCCATTCGCGGTGCTCCCGCTCCCTGGGCCGAGCTGGAGTTTGACAACATCATCCTGGCGATGCCCTCCGAGGCGGTGCGCTGTCTGGACAACCCAGAGGAGGTGGCGGCCCTGTGGAACCAGATCATGAAGGGCATCGCCGAGCTGGCAGCCATCCCCGAGAGGCTCCCCAGGAAGGAGCGCTTCGTGGCCGACGTGCAGATCTCCCACGGCAAGTGTTCGCCGGCGCGTGCCCATCGCCGCAGAAGGCCCGCGATGTATGATCGGTCTGTTTACTGCCCTGCCATATGAGTGTCAGCGGAATCTGATTTAAGATGCTTGTCTCGAGCGTTTGTAGTTTTATGCTGGATATTACGAGATAGTAATTCTCGCGTACCTTATGTGATCATGCGATAGCACAATTGTCATATAATACATCCTTATGTGATCATGCGATAGCACAATTGTCATATAATACATCCTTATGTGATCACGCGATAGCACAATTGTCATATAATACCTCCATAGCTACGTGCAGACTTGCACATGTAACTTCATAACGGAACCATTATGGCTTTGATCTCTACAACCTACAAAACTGATCTTCATGCTTATATTGATTCTGTTCATATTTGCTACAAATTGCAAGATTTCCTTATGACTAAACCCCTGTCGAAAAGTAAATCCATACAAATTCTGCAGCGCTGGACATCGACACTATCGTTAAACCGAAAGTGCCATAGCTTCTAGATGCGTTCAGTGCACAATGTAACAGGTTGTACATACACTGAAGTAGTCGTTGCTATCTCGTAACTAAGAAATAATTTTTCCCTTGGTGACAGCAATGTGCTTCCGTACGCCAAAACAAATTCTATGCAACTTGTTGTAAAGGCAATAAAGGATTGATCGAGGGATCGGGGAATCGAGGGATTGACTGACGTATTTAAGCTGATTTTTTTTGTCTTAGGTTGGATGCATGCTGGATACCCTGTTATGATGCACTCAACTGCAGCCAAAAACTTAATTGACCTGGACCTCATTAAAAACAGTGGGCTGTGGGGACCCATCCACGAACTGGGACACAACCAGCAGAGAGGAGCGTGGGAGTTCCCTCCACACACCACCGAGTGCACGTGCAACCTGTGGTCGCTCTACATCCACGAGACCGTGCTGGGCAAGGAGAAGCACAGAGCCCACGAGGCCTGTACGCCCCAAAACCGAGAGGAGAGAACCCGTCATTTTGTGGAGAAGGGTCGAAGCCTGAATGACTGGAGTGTGTTCACTGCTCTGGAGACCTACATGCAGGTAAAGGAAGCATATGCAGGGACAGAAAGGTTTCTGAATGATTTCTTCCTTCTCCTGATTGGTGTATAGGTGTTCTACATGGGCATAATGGCAGCCCTGTGTCATGGGTGTGATGGATATAGTGCGCCCCCTGCTGTTTGTGAAGTGCTTTGCAATCCTTTGGGTTGGAAAGGTCTCTATACAGTAAATGCTATTAATCACTTTTACTTGATGATGTAAAAGTAAGTAAAAACTGTCCATATTGCAAAAAAGTACATGGTAAGCTGGTACTATCGCTGCTAAAAAAAACAATAGCACAATACTGGCTGACCTCTATCGCTCTTCCTTGCCGTCAGCAGACTTTTATGTTTTTGAGAATTTTATTTTTGGAACTTTCCAGTCTGCATCCTTGGTGCTAAAACACATGTATCCAAGATAAATCACTATTATAGGTTTATTATATGTGCATATTTCATGTGCCCTAGATATAGTTGTGGTTTGTGACTGTGTTTGGTTTTCTTCTTTCTGAGAGCGGATTGCCATTGTAGGGAGGTAAGAGGGTTTGATATGTTTTTCTGTTCTCATTTTGCGATCGGAGTTTTGGTGATTGTCGATAGTAATAATAATAATAAACAATTTAACACAAAGAAATGCTATTTTATTACCCCTGTCTTGCAGCTCCAGGAGGAGTTCGGCTGGGAAGCTTTGAAGAAAGTCTTTGCGACCTACCACCTCATGAGCAACATCCCCAATAACAACACAGGCAAGATGAACCTGTACGCCGAGACGTTCTCCACGGCGGTCGGCAGGAACCTGGCTCCTTTCTTCAGGTCCTGGGGCTGGCCCATTGAGGAGGGCGTAGAGAAACGCCTGTCGGAGCTGCCGGAGTGGAGCGAGCATCCAATGACCAAATACGCCTGAGCAGAGCACGACATCACGCTGGCTAGTGTCAGACTGCTCTGCTCCCAGACCAGGCCCACAGGAGGCCCAGTCAGTTACCCCGTGTGATGAATGTGTCACCCACACACATGGTGCTATCATATAACGTTGCAACATGTGAGCAGGTCCCACACTTTGTTTGAGCTTATACCCCTTGGAAATGGGCTGCTTTGGTGTTACAGGTGCGCGCAGGTGCTTTGGTGTGTTCATTGCAGGCTTTCCGTTATATTGCTGAGAGAGGTCGCGAGAGATATTGCCGCTCATTCGTTCCCTGGGAATTGACTGATCCCAGGAATATTCAAACAATCCAAACAATCGATACAAATCCAAACGATCCGCATAAACAAACGGAGCTGGACTGGGGTCTTGCCCTGCGCCTGTTGCTTGCCCGGATAGGCTCCGGCTCCCCTAGGACCCTGAATTGGATAAAGAGGTTAGAAAATGGATTTACGCGTAAATAAAATTGTATTTATCGTTACGTGACGTATGGGAGGATTTTACATAAGGCCAATTCACAGAGTCTGGGGAGGGGTAGTGTAAATTAGTTTTGAATTCAGATAGAGGGAGAGAACGATAAATTTAATTCGTGCATGAAACCTGACTTGTTTGTGAATCTGAACCTCCCCTTGAACTACTTTCATTTTTCTACACGTGCAGAGTAAAGGAGAAAGCGAGAAACTATCGTGCTTCCACCTCAATTATCTCGAATACCTTGATTCATAAAAACATACTTCAGATTCTAAATATTTTAGAATACATACACGTATTTACAGTTCATAGGGTTTCCCCCCCAAATAACAGGTTTGGTAAAAAAAACATTGAAATGACTAAATTAAGTTTTTACTGTAATTTACCACAATATCAGGTTTGATAACAGGTTTCATATTGTTCAAAAACTTTAAAAATGCAATAATAAAACGCCAAATTACACTATACATGGGAACTCGCCATACTGTGCACTCAGCTCACTGGCGTTTCATACAGTAACGGAGCTCGAGTCCACAACAGTTACTTTTAAAGTATCTATTTTATCTACTTTCTATGAATATTCTTCCCACAGGCATCACAATATCATAACCTGAACGCTGAATAATAATTTAGCTACGCTATTCTCACTAAATTTAACTTTAAAAATAGTACAAAACATTGAGGTAGCTTCTACACAAACATTTCAATCAAAGCAATCTTTACGTTCCTTCTTTTCAGTATTTTTCCCCACTAACGTTCAGGTGTAACATATCGTAAATCTGAAATGACATAATTTTAATTTTGACAGCTGTGGTTCGGAAAAACATCGACCTGACAGTAGAGAACAGACGCCGGTAAAGCGAGAATTTACAACCACTTTAAGAAACTGGTATTTCGTGTCCCGTTAATAGGTGAAATAGTGCACATTTCCAAACACATACGTTGTTACGAACGTAAATCACGGTCTAATCTTTTTTTCTGGGTTTAAATTTTTTCTTCAAAAAATGTTTTAAAAAAAAGTATTCAAACTCACAGTTCAATGTTTGCGGTTCCTAACGGTCAATTACGCCATCTTCAGACACCCAACCAATCCATCTCAACTGCGGTTCTACAGGTGATGGAAGTTTGTTTTCCGAGTCTTCCTTAAAATGTACCTACCGTATTTAGTCTAGGAATTGGTTAGATCGTCTTTTTGGAGAAAACAGGGGACTCATACTGTATTTTGCATTAACCTTTATAATGTAATGCTTACTGCCGCAATTGAGTGTGAAAGCCGGCTTATCAGAGCGGTGACGTCACTGCCCTTCCCTGTAATAGCAGGACCACAGATGCTGGGCTGGAGGGAGATCTCTCTTTAGCTCAACAGGCTGGGTCCCTGTTGAGTGACGCCGGAAGCCCGGTTCGATTCCCCGACGGTGGGGGGCTAACTTGATGCAGCAGCAGGTGAGGGCGCCCACGTGAACCCCGAAGTGTTACAGTAACATTAAATCCATCCAGGTCACGTTTGGGGTAGATACTACACAGTATGTTGTACTTTCATATCACCAGTTTATTACCAACACTGTGTTTATAAAAACTGACAACAAAAGCAAGAGAAGCTAACTAAGTGAGACATACTTAGTTACAGAGAGCCCTCTTCACCACTGGATTCCCAGATAAACCAAATCTTCTCATGTAATGGGCTCTGAAGGGACTTCATCACAGGAAGCTTTAATATACAGTACAATGTGGGTGTTTTTCATGTTCATGATTTGTATGCACTCAGGTCGGTGTCAGACTGATTATTATAAAGACTAAATGTTGTACTGATATGAAATGTATTATGCAACCTCTATTATTAACTCCTGGGCCCTATCTCTCTTTTGCAGCAACAAAATTAAATATTCTTAATCAAAACAAATTCTTACTTTGGTGAAAGTATTTGTCAGCATCCTTTATTTGACACAATGGGCACTAACAGTTTTGGAGAGCAAGGGTGTAAGGGGAGAGAGAGAAAGACAGGGAGACAGCGCAGAGAGTACATGACTCCCCTCTAGAAAAAGTGCAAAAGAGGACCAAAAAAATGCTTGAAGAGCAAGAAGTGGAGAGAGAGGAAGTGAACCACCCAGTCATTGTGCTTTTCTGGGCTAGAAAGGTTTTGTCTAGTGTATTTTCAATGTTGAATAATTATACATAGTGGCTAGAACACTGTGTATACAGTAGTTGAAAAATATGCTTTTTTTTTTTCATTGATTACCCCTGTGAAACCCAACTCTTACTCTTCAATAGCTACTGGACTCAATGCTCAAGGATCTGAATTGCTTTTAACTGCAATTTCTCCTAAATCTGCCTGAGGCCTTTCTGCACCACACAGTTCAGGAAGCGCTGGAAAAGCACAGTCATACAGCACAAGAAGAGGTCGTAATTAAATAAATTCTCAGAACCAACGTTGTACCAGGTCTACTTATTGGATGTTTATTTTAAGATAATTTCATTACATTCATGCAATTTCTATTGTCATTTGAATATTTTTGAAACACGTGTGTGAATAAGTTTCTAATTTCTAAACTTCAAGACTGGACCACCCAACAATACTAACATACATTTATTCACAGACGTGCACAAAAATACAGTACATTGCCAAAGTCTGCAAAACAAAATATATAATTGGAAATTCGCAATTACAATACCTTGATTAAGAATATCTTAAGATATCAAGGCAAAACGGGAAGATGTAAATGTTTATTCCATGCTGAAAAAAGAATGAAAGAAACACAATGGGTGTGAAAAAGGCTCCACAGCTGAAATGTTGTGTTTCTTTTCTTCTCTTTTCAGCATTGAATAAACCTTTACTTGTTCCTTTGCAGCCTACGCATTCTGACGCAGCTCCCCACCTGAACTAAAATAGGAAGACTACCGCTTAATGAGTACATAAAGACGTCATCGAAGACAATATTATTACAGGGTCCAGCTATAATTCAGTAAATGCCTGTTTTGATATAGTTAACATTTACAGCGCAGCTTGCATTTGAAAGATATTAAGCAATCGATTTTTCATTTAGGCATGGTTATTCTTTAATTGTTTCTTAAACACCAGGGTGTTAGCATTTATAACCAAGCCAGCACAGACTTGGCCGGATATGAACCCACACTGGCTGACCAGATTCATCTAACAGCATTCATTTGCTTCACGCAAGGAGACTCTTATCATGACACTTTCCCCCAGCTCAGTATTTCTATCACAGTCGGGTCTGAAATTACGGACAATGGGCCTTCGTGGAGCAGCACACCATACTGACCGATTTAGGCAAAAATGGTACCGTTTCCATTTTCGAAAGATAGAGCACGGGCTCTATACTGCAGCTCAGATCCATAAAGGAGAATAATATCAGACTAACGTAACACTTGTAATCGTTAGGAGGGAAGTGGTACTGGAAGGGAAAGAGGGCGACTGGGGGGAGGTAATTAAACACGATGATACCCAGGATGATCAGAACCATCTTAAAGGCCTTCTTCTTCATGGGGTGCATCTCATCCCTGCCCAGCACAGACTGTCTCAGAGCCCGCAGGATGGAGAGGTTACAGAACAGCATCACTGCAAAGACAGACAGTATGAAGATCGTGAATGCCTGATCTACACTCTGGATCCCAAGGATGGACTTCGTGAGGGAATAGGCCACCATGAACGCCCACACCACAGCAGCACAGACGGCTCTGTAACTGCGGTCTTTGATCTTGGTGAAGGTGATGGGGTGCACCACGGCCATGTAGCGGTCCAGGCAGATGCAGGTGAGGAACAGCGGGGAGCTGTCTTTTACCCCGTAGGAGAACCTCTGGAAGTACCAAACATGCATGTCGTTCAGGAACAGTCTGTTCGCCAGCTCGATCGGAGTCATCAGGCAGAAGAATGAATCAAAGACGGCGAGGTTCATGATGAAGATGTCAGAGGTGGAGGAGTCCCTCGTCTTCCGCAGGACGAGCCCCACCACCATCAGGTTGGCCGGCAGACCAATCACAAAATTGAAGACCTTCACGCTGTAGTAGAACAGGAGGCCAGATAAATGCCCTTCACACCCTTGAAATTTACTAAACATCACGACCGTGATGTTAGGCGTGCTGTGGTTGAGAAGAAGACTCGAGTTGGTAAAACTATCCATTGCCGTTCTTGGAGACAGTGACGGAGCTGATCAAGTGGTTCTGAATGAAGAGACAAAAAGAAGAAGAGACATTTTTAGTCCTAGTGCAGCAAGAACACAACAGAATTGGGTTAAACTGAAACTTTGTTTACTGATGTAGCATTTGGAGCATAAAGTCCAGCAGGAACAGGTGAAGGTTTATTCCACACTGAAAGGAAAAAAAGAGAGGCACAACATTTTGGCTGTGGAGCCTTCTGTCACACACCCACTTACTTGAACTTCTTCAATAGAGTACAAGATGTGTTTTCAGGGCTTGGCTACTCAGTCCTGCTCTAACTTTGTAGACATCCTTCTCGATTTTGAGTTTCTCACTGTCTACACGTGGCCTAAACTGAAAACCCTTGCCTTCTTTCGAGACTCCAAGAATTGTGCAAAGGGTGCACTCGTGTTTGCCTGTTGTTTGCTTGTGCCAACACTCTTACGGTGGTACTGAACCCTGCAGACCAAACCCATGCAGGAGCCTTCATGCCCTTGGTGTGTCAAGACACGCCGGTTTCTGCTTAGATCAGCTTGAGGATGAGTGTGTGATGTGTAGTGCTCTTACTGTAGCCTGTATACCAGTGTGTTGTTTATATTACAGCCTCGGTTTCTGGTTTTTGATTAAAACTACCTTGTAGGCAACAAAGTTATTTTTTGTATAAAAAGTAATAGGTTAACACTTATCATTTACTGTGGATTAAACTCATTTAACCCACATGTCCACCCATCACTTACACAGTTTAGCCTCCAGTGATCATCATCATTACATTATTTGTGGAAATTTTTACTTTGGCATTAATAAGGCAGAAAACCACATTTTACTTTACTAACCTTTAAATGCCTTCTAAGTAACAGGCTTTTTCTCAAATATTAAAGTACTGAATACTGTACTTTTCCCATCAATTCATGAGGAACCACAGTACCAGAGACGTACAGAACTACTGTAAATAGTGAAAATGTACAACATGAACCATTCCTGAGGTTTGCAAATTAATTGCAGTTTCAAAGAGGTTTGCAAATGAAGTGCAATTTCACCTGCCTGTGAAGATGCGTTTCACTGTAAAAGCAAAGAGTTTATCATGTTACATTATCAGTTAACCACGGTGAAAGAAGAGTCTATAAATCTTGGAAGAAGTAAAAACCAAAGCTATCCTTTTTAAATAGCAGTACAGTCAGGTTCACTACTGCTCTGATCTTCTACTTGGAACAGGATTTACAGACAAACCAACTGAATCAGTTGAAGAGAGATTAGAGAATAATGTAATGACTGATGAGTCTGGATCTGCATTCTGTTAAACAATCAATGACTATACTGGCTGAGGAGGAATGAGAGTCCTCTTAAAAAAAGGGAGGTGTATACAGTATTTATTTATATTAACAAGTTTGGTTATTCAGGTCGCTGAGAATTGCTATATCAAATAATTAATTGTTATAATCAAGTCATTATAATACTAGCATATTTAAGTGCCAAACAATGACAATCTAAAAAATCAAGGAGTCTGACATAAATCATAAATCTGCTAAATGAATAAAGAAATTACACTCCCTATGTTAATGTAACAGAATATCTAATAGGAAATACATAGTGTTAATACTACTCAAGCAACAGGAAATAAATGACAAATTCACCTCACATTATATTCTGTAAAAATAATAATAGGTAATGCCCTTTTCATTCCTTTTTCTGTTTAATAAAACAGGAATTCTTCAACTTCAAACATCGTGTATTTCACAGACAACATGAAATGATTTCACAGAAAACACACAGATATGTGATACATTTTTACAATCCCTTACATTATTTTACAATAAATTTGTGTTTCGTTTCCTTACAGATAGTATCTTTAGATTTTAGTTTTTGGTTCTAAACTATTGTTCCCATTAATGAAGAAGATGCTAGTAGCTAGGTGCAGCTGTCTAAAGCTTCTAACATCTGCATTGCTGCTTAATCTATTTCAAACCTATCAAACCTACATAAAGAGGCACTGGTAAAGTGATTTCCAGTGCCTCTGCAGTTATAGTCATATTGTTCAGTTTATAAATGTCATACATACCAATACAAATCACAACGCAGTGATCTTACCAATGCAATGTCAGTGTTTTCATTCAGCGTCTTTGGTCTTCTTGTGTGGTGCTCCTGAGCTTGCTGTGTTGAGTGTCTTGCAGCCTGAAATCTGTAGTATCCTGTAGGAATCTTGTTCAAGACACTGTACTTTGTTCACTTGGAAATGGGTATTGTAGGGGAGCCAAGCCAAACTCTCCAGAGGACATGAAGGAAGGGCATCTTCACCCCATCCAATCAGAAGCTGGTAGAGAGAACTGAACCATTTTCAATTGGAGATTTGAATTTCTAGCAATCATTTTACCTTCAAACAAGGTCTCCAGGGAGTTTGAATATACTGAATATTAATCATATATTAATTAAAACATTCAGTAGACTTCATGTGAAACACTATGGGAAAATGCCTTGGTTACAAATATAAAAAGGGGCTTTTGCTACACAAGGTTCTGGTGGAAAATTTGTTTTTTTGACACTTACGTCTCCTTCCAATCCACTTTTACAAGTGATGCAATAGAGAGGTCATTGGAGCACAAACAAAACACACAGTAAACAAAGTGATGCAAGAGACCAGGTGTACAAAACTGAAATTCGGTGTAATACAGTGTAAGGTGTTACGTGCAAGAAGCAAAACGTTTTTTCTAACCCAATTTGCTCAGGAGGCCACAAGCACGTCCTCCTAGGTTAGAAACGTGGAGGGACTACTGGCGACTGGGGATCATAACATGTTGTCCTCTGAACCTTATTGGATGTCCTGTCATTTGGGGGTGTACAGTTTTCAGAAGATTGACGGTAAAAGAGTAAGAGAGTATTCAAGACAGGAGTAACGAGAGAAACACGGAGAGAACAGATGGTCACAATTCCTGGACACAGAGATACCTGGACATAGTATATCCAGTTTACATGTAACATAGACGCAACAAAAAAGTCTCTGCTGCTGCCAGAATGGTTTAACAGAGAAGAAGAAAAACAACAGGTCAAAGAAATAGCAGGAACACTGTAATCAGACACAAAAGGTTTTTAATTTGGCAGGAGAAAGTAACATGTACAGTAACATCGCTGCTGGTGATCAAACGAACCAAGCAGAGTTTCCAGTACCACTGCAGCATACAAAAATAAAAAAGTGAACACAATAAACTGGTAAATTGTATTGTAAATTTACAGTGTTCATTAAGCAAATCAGAAGCTGAATAACAATGATGATACCCTTATGGCACAATTGGCATATGACAAGGAGAATCACCTCGAATGCTAAATTCAAAAAGCAATCAAGAGTATTGATTTAGCATTCAAAATGCTAAATGCTATATGCTTTAGCATATACAATACGCACCAGGTAAAGATTTATGATGTGAATGTAATAGTAGAAATTCAAGGGTGATTCAAAACAGACATCTCAAACTTATAAACCTGGCAAAGTGATCAAATATCATTTCATGAATTTTACCACATTTTTCCACATTTTCTCATATTTTCCAACACAATCATTCCTAAAAAAACTGTATTTTGACGTGGTTTAGATAGGTGCTTTTTGGCTGCTTTGGAGGCACCTCATACCAGGCTTGTAATCACGGGAAAATCATTTTTGGATCAATATCAAAGACTAGTTCTTAAAAGTGCACATCGAATTGGTGATGGTTAATCAAGCACTGTATTTTTTTTTCAAATAGCCAACCTCAGTTGGTTCTCTAGCATGATGTTGTATGTTGTATTTGTGATTACAAAATCAATTTGCATGAATGATCAGTCAAAACACAATCAACTTGGACTTATTAGGCTGGTGGTGACTCAAAATAAATTAAGAGCAATTAAGAAAAAAAATATAAGGAGAAAGAAAGCACTCTACAAGGCAACTATAAAGGAGCAAGATCCAATTATAGAAAAAAGAGTGTACTGAATTGCAACCACAGGTGAAAAAGACTTTAGAATGGCCAAGAAAGAGGGAGAATTCTCTTAAATAAAGAGGTGATTTTGAAAATGACAGGGAAATATGTAAAATTGTATTTAGCACAGGTGTTTTCTTAGGTGGAAATTAAATTAACATGAGCATAGCAGGGGTTGAAGCATTTCCTGACTTAATATTACTTGAACCTCCTGATTATGATGGTTTTGAACCAGTTACACAAGAGAAAACGATGGATGTTAATTATGGATCGTTTCTAGAGTCTGCTTAGCCCCTGCCCAAGATGAATAAAGTCCTGAAACTGAAGTGTGCGGGCATGCAAAATAATGCATTTATCCTCATTGATAACTGAATGAAGGACCAAAAACAGAGAGAATATTGCCGGACAACATATGTAAAAGGGGAACTGCAGCCCCCAAAAGGCTTAAGCTATTTCTCCTTTCAAATTGGATTTTAATAGTTTTTGAAGGTCTCTATGGAGTCAGCCACTACCCCACCTCCCCATAACCACTTCTAACAACTTTTTTGTCCCATTTAAGTCCTATATTTTATCTCCATATGTCTTCCTTAACATTCTGTCTTTCAAAACTTCCCTGCCCCATTACAGAGACACGCAGGGCACCATGATTAGGTACCAGCCTCTTTCTTTATTTACAGCTTTTAACACTTAAACACAGCTGCACGCAAAATCTTTAAAACAAATAAAGTAACAGGAAAATATTTATTCCATGCTGAAAGAAAAAGGAAAAAGACACAACATTTCGGCTGTGGAGCCTTCTTCAGGAGTTCTTGGTGTTCTTGGCACCTGAAGAAAGCTTCACAGCTGAAATGTTGTGTCTCTTTCTTTCCCTTTCAGCATGAAATAAACCTTTACCTGTACCTTTGCAGACTGTGCATGCTGACACACCTACCTACTCCAAAAAAATAAAGTGACCATGTGAAATGAAAAGCAAGTGCAAAGCTCTTTCTGAAAGTCATGGAAAGTTGGGACCACCCTTTTTCATTTGAAAGGTGCATCACAAAGTAATGAGAGGAAGCCTGTAAGAACTGAGAGACACAAGAAATGATTGAACCATAGAAACTGGTTTCAATCACATACAATATCTTCACATTATATAACATTCATTTAACATTCATTATATAACATGTCATATAACATTGCCTGCCTATGTTCTACACCAAAACAGAAAAGTTGCTGGTTTAAAGACTCCAAAATCTAGAGTTAGGAACCACCTGATCTAGGCTGTGTCATTCCCTTGGGTGCCTTGGCAAACAGTCACATTCCCACGAGAGACGGGATACTGCTGGAACACATGGGCAAATGCATGTGCTCATCCCTAACCCTAACCCTAATCCTAACTCAGCCCCCCCTTATCCAATTAACAGGTGCTTCACTAATCACGCCGCATTATTTAAACCTTATGCTACTGGGACAGTGCTCTGTCATCGAGCTCCTTTCTGACACACAGCAGCACTCTCTCAATACTGACCTGCATCTCTGAAAGATTCTCTCTGCCTGAAGAATTCCTGATCGGTTCAAAACCTGAGAACATCAGCCTCCTGCTTAGCACCAGATCAGTAGGTTCTCTTCAACAGCCTGTTTCCCTCCTAGTAGCACAGTCTCCCAGGCCAATTATGTCCAGATGACTGCACTCGCCTTCTCTTCAGTCCTGCTCACATCTGCCTGTTCAGTCTTGCTTACAGCTGCTGGCTCCTTTCACCGACTCTGTACTTCTTTGGCTGTCTCCGGCAGTCTCTGAGCTCCACCTTCCGGGAATCTCGGCCAGCCTCCGGAGATCACCGAGCTCCTGCATTTGGATTCCTAGCCTGTTTGTAAGACATGGGAGTCAGCTTCAGATTGACGCATCATGTAGGTCCAACAGGGCTCGATGAAGAGCTCCAGATCCTGGCCAGCCATGAGACAGCCCTGCAGGCACAGGAAGCGTGTGCTTTCAGCAGTGACTTATACTCCCAGCCACGAAGACCTGGAGAGCAACCTGTCAACCCCCTTATTGGCCCCGGAGTAGTGAGGAACTTCCTTGACTTTAAGATTACCAAAAGATCTAGCTGTCTTCCAAAATGTTATTAAAACCAATTTATGGAACTGTTAGACTTTATGAATGGTCCACTTGGAAAATATCCTGATATATTCCCACTGCCTCCTTCTGTGTCTGAGGACCTCTATGCAAACCTCTATGGGACCTCGAAAAATGCAAAACTCGGAAAGTGTCAGTTCCACCAGATAGAGGTGGCGCTCCTAGGATATATCCTCTCCTCCTTCAGCTTGCAGATGGACCCCCGGCATTAAGGGACTGGTCCACTCCTACCACCCTCAAACAGGTCCAGCGCTTTGTGGGCTTCCCCAATTTCTACCACAGGTTTATTCTAAACTTCACCACAGTCGTGGGCCCTATCACAGCTCTCACCAGAAAGAAGCCCAGCAAGAGCAGGTGGACCCCCCAGACATGGGGTGCCTTTGAGGAACTGAAGCACCACTTCACTTTAGCCCTGGTCCTTCACCACCAGGATCCCTCTGTGCCCTTCTTTGGCCCATGTAAGGAAATGGAAGGCACAAACGCCATCACCTGCTGGCTGGTCTTTACCTGGTCATTAGGAAGGTGAATTCTCACAAGAGACTGCACACCATCTGGAGTAGACAGAACACACTCAGGCCAATTATCTCAACCCATCCTTCATACAATTAATGGGTGCCTCACTAATCATTCCTCATTATTTAAACCATTGTTTTCCACTGGGATGGTGCTCTGTCAATGAGGTCCTTTCTGACAAACAGCAACACTCTCTCAGTACTGACCTGCATCTCTGAAAGATTATCTCTGCCTGAATCTGCCTGAAGAATTCCCGATCAGTCCCGAACCTGAGAACATCAGCCTCCTGCTCAGCACCAGAGCCTGTTTCCCTCCTAGTAGCGCAGTCTCCCAGTCCGATCCTGTCCAAACGGCTGTGCTCGCCTTCTCTTTAGTCCTGCTCACAACTGCCAGTTCACTTCACCGTTCTTCTTCGGCAGTCTCCAGTGGTCTCCAAACTCTAGCTCCAAGGCAGTCTCCACCATCCTCTGGAGATCACCAGTCTCCTGCAATTGGATCCCTAGGCTGTCTGTAAAATGCAGCTGTCAACTACAGCTAACTGCATCAACGAAAATTAAGTAGGTAACTCCATTTACAGTCAACATAATTAAAATAATACAACACTGCTAATAATGAAATACCATGGTCCAAATTAACCCAGAACCTTGATTCAATCCTTCATCATTCATTCAAATGATGAATGACAAACCCAGTACTTATATCCTTTTGCTTCCACACCTCTGTATGCTTGACACTGACCTCTAGGCTTCTAATTTCTTACCTATGGGAGAGGCAAGTGTTGATAACCTTAATACTTCAGATCATATGGCATAACTGTCACGGACGTCCAAAGGGATTAACCGTGGAGAGGCAGGAGAGCGGAAAAAGACTCATATGCATAGCGGCGAGACGGGAAAAAGGCCCAGGCTCCTTAGTGCAAAGAGTTCAGGAGTGCCGTATAGAAACCTGTGCCCTCAGGTAGCGGACGTGGGGTGACCTGGTGCTAGGTGGGTCTCAGGACATCCGAACGTCAATGCTGAGCGAGGGCAGAGTGCAAGACCCGGAAATATATAGCCCAAGGGAAAGAGAGGGAGAAGAAGGACGATAGGCAGGAAACTAGGGACAGGACAGAGTAGGAGCCCCCTCTGGCTGAAAAGGGCGTGACAATAACATTTACATAACTTACCTTGCACGGTCAACAACATAAACATATAATATAAAAAATCTCTAGGCTAGCATTGGAAAAACCAAAATATTGTATAAAATGTCATTGAACACAATAAGATAATTAACATTTAGGGTTTAATAAGAGCATTAAGGATTTAGATTAATGAAGAGGGTAAGGTTTAAGGGTTCATTTCCAGGGTTAGATTAAGGTTCAGAACTAGAAGATAGGTTGAAGGTGGAAATCCTTGTCTGAGATCCCAGAGTGTGCTGTGACCAGGAGTCATTGATTCTGCAAACTTGCATACATATGGCTGATGAAACTGTACTCTGCTAAACAATAACGTTATTAATTGACTCTGTTGCTTTTCACAAAGGTGTCGTTAACTCTATCAGTCAGGAAAACATGGCAATCTGACTATTCTCGACAAATAGAGCAGAGGCTGAACACTGCTGCTGAGGTCCATGAAGGCAAACGCAATGTGATGAACATAACACTTAAACACAAGAGGAGAGAAGTAGTTCTGGAAAGGGAAAAGAATGACAGGTGGGAAATAATGAAACACTATAATGGCCAGAATGATAAGGACCATGTTGAAGGCCTTCTTCTTCACAGGATGCATCTCATCCCTCCCTGGACCAGACCTTTTCAGAGCCCAGAGGATGGAAAGGTTACAGAACACCATGATGGAAAAAATTGTAAGGATCATAACACTGAACACACGGTGAAAACCCTTCACTGCGCCCGCAGCGTAAGAAATGGCATAGCTAATGATAATGACCATCAGCACCTCCGCACAAATGATTCTGTGCTTCTGACTTCTGAACCTAGTGAAGGTGATGGGGTGCAGCACTGCTAGGTAGCGGTCCAGACAGATACAAGTGAGCAACAGGGGAGAACCATCTTTTATACCGTACGCGACAGACTGGACTTGCCAGACAGTCGCATGATTCAGCAGTAACCTGTTGAGCAGGTCAACAGGAGACATGAGGCAGAAGAAGGTGTCCAGGATGGCAAGGTTCAGGATGAAGATGTCAGAGGTGGAGAAGCTGGCTTTGTTCCTGTGTAGAAGCCACAGCACCATCAGGTTGATCTGCAGTCCCAGGACGATGTTGATAGCCTGTGCGATGATGAAGATCATGGGTCCCACGGGGATGACTTTGCACTCCTCGAAGAAACTCAACGGCTGGACTGTGGCGTTGGGCGTGTTGTAGTTGGGCAGAGAGCTTGAGTTGGTGTAGAGAGCAACTGCCATCGTTGTTGAACACTGAGAGATACAAACAGACATGCTTCGTCTTAAATCACAGCAAGATCACAGCAAGGTGGGAGCTTGAATAAGATCAGTGAATCATGACTAAAAAACTGAGCTGCGCAAGTAGTTCAGGTGTAACTTCAGGTGACACCCGAAGAAGGCTTCACAGACGATGATCTTCCTTTCTTCTCTTTTCGGCATGCAATAAACCTATGACTCTTTCCAACACATGAGTAGTCAAGGTCATACTCAAGATTTCTAATAGAGTGACCACTCTACAGTATGTCCTCTTAGAATAAAAGGTGCTGTTATTCAATTAGATGAAAATTGTTCTCTGGCACTTTACATTTTACACTTAAGCTTCTATTAGCTTTTGAGAACCCCATCAGTCAAAATCTCAAAACTTATCACAAGCGTAGGTTGGAAAAATCTTATCAGCGTCGAACTGCCTTGCCTTCCAGCTGGTTTTCACATGATTACTGTGTGATAATTTGTTTCTCTATGTATTATCATACACAATGTGTATAAATTATATCAACAGCAAAGTGGCAGTGCCCAGTGCTGGATTCTCAAATATACTTCAGAATTTGCAATGCAAAATGGCCAGTGCAAGTCTGAGGTTAAGCTACAGTATATGCCTTAGCATATACAGTATCTTAGTGTAGGCGCATCATTCATTTTTATACAGACGTGCATTTCACGTCAGTACAAGATTTACTTAAGCGCTATGAAAAAACATTTTCCCTTGACCACCAATGCCCTTTGCATGGAAATGTGCTTGTGCAAGAATTGGCATCAGATTGCATGCACATGCACAGGCTAAAACAGATAGCAAACGCAATAGCTTTAAATAAACTGTTTTCTAAATAAATAAAGCTTTTACAATTTCAATGAGACCATGCAAACATACCTGCCTCAGATTAGGTGTTTTGCTGTAAAAGAAAAGAGATACCATGCTCATGTTTCCATTATCAGTCAACCATGGTGAATGGTGAGTCTATAGATTTTGGAGGAAGTAAATAAAAAATCAAAGCTATTCTTTTCAAATAGCAATACTTTCAGGTTCAGTACTGTTCTCATCTACCATTTTTAAAGGCATTAACAGACAGAGGCTGCAGTCTAGTTGACATTAAATCAAAGAGAGATTTGAAAGTAATGTTATGATTGATAAGGTGTATGGATCTGCATTCTGTTGAAGTAATCAATTATACCAGTATATGGGCTAAGAGAAGATAAGAGTTCTCTTAAAAACAATCATGAATGTTGGATAGATATTTGGGACTGTGGGAATGAAATCACAATATTGTGTATAAAATTATTATATAAGCAGCATTAGTGCCAAGCAATGGCTGTCAAAAAAGTCAAGGAGTCTGACATAAGTCATAAAGCTCAAACTATAGGACATAAATTACAACTATTGCAACTAAAGGTTGCTTGTCCTTCAATGTGCCTTTTAATTCTTTCTTCAGTTTAATAAAAAATAACTCTTCAACTTAAACATTTTGTATTTCACAAGATGAAATGATTCCAGCATGTATAAATTCCAAAGAAAACATGTACAGATTTGTTGCACTGTACATTTATAAAATCCATTCATTACTTTTGCAATAAATTAGAGTTTCATTTCCTTAGTGTTTTTAGATAGTATTTTTTGGTTCTAAACTATTGTGGTCTTTAATGAAGAAGATGGCAGTAGCTAGGTGCAGCTTCTAAAGCTTCTGACGTCAACACTGCTTCTTAGTCTTAAATGCAATGCATAACAATCACAAATCAAAATAGACTGCTCTTACCTGTGCAAATTCAGTGTTTTCATTCAGCGTCTTTGTTCTTCTTGTGTGGTGCTCCTGAGCTTGCTGTGTTGAGTGTCTTGCAGCCTGAAATGTGTTGTATCCTGCAGGAATCTTGTTCAAGACACTGTACTTTGTTCACTTGGAAATGGGTATTGTAGGGGAGCCAAGCCAAACTCTCCAGAGGACATGAAGGAAGGGCATCTTCACCCCATCCAATCAGAAGCTGGTAGAGAGAACTAAACCACTTCCAATCACAAATTAGAATCAGTATGAATCTTTTTTTTAATATAAGCTCTCCAAGGCATTCAGGTATATGGAATATTAATCATATATTCATTAAAACATCCAGGGGGAGACTCAGTATGAAACAAATATGGGAAAATGGCATGGTCATAAGTATGAAAAGGGGCATACGTCACACAATGTTCCGTCGGAAAATGTGTTTTTCTGGCACCCAAGTCTCCCTCCAATCCACTTTTACAAGTGATGCAATAGAGAGGTCATTGGAGAACAAACGAAATTCGCTGTAAACAAAGTGATGCAAGAGACCAGGTGTACAAAACTGAAATTCGGTGTAATACAGTTTAAGGTGTTACGTGCAAGAGGGAAAATGTTTTTTCTAACCCAATTTGCTCAGGAGGCCACAAGCACGTCCTCCTAGGTTAGAAACGTGGAGGGACTACTGGCGACTGGGGATCATAACGTGTTGTCCTCTGAACCTTAGTGGATGTCCTGTCATTTGGGGATGTACAGTTTTCAGAAGATTGACGGTAAAAGAGTAAGAGAGTATTCAAGACAGGAGTAACGAGAGAAACATGGAGAGAACAGATGGTCACAATTCCTGGACACAGAGATACCTGGACATAGTATATCTAGTTTACATGTAACATATACACACCAAAAAAGTATCTGCTGCTGCCAGAATGGTTTAACAGAGAAGAAGAAAAACAACAGGTCAAAGAAATAGCAGGAACACTGTAATCAGACACAAAAGGTTTTTAACTTGGCAAGAGAAAGTAACGTGTGACATCGCTGCTGGTGATCAAACTAACTTAAAGGAGATTTCCAGTACCACCACAGCTACAGGAATAAAAAAGTGAACAGACAGTGGGGGGATTAATTAAATGATATGCTCACAGTACTCATCTGAAGTTTAATAGACATGATGATCCCCTTTTGTGACTTGACAATGAGAATCACCTTCAATGCAGTACATTCAAAAAGCGATCAACAACATTCATGCAGTATTTTAGCACACACTGAAAAGATGCATGGTGCAAATATTATAGTAGAAACAAAAGGGTGATTCAAAACAGACAGATCAAACTCATAAACCTGACAAGTGATCAGAAATTGTTTTATAATTTGTGCAACATATTTTCACACTTCCACGTGTTTACCAACATATTAATTCCTAAAAGTACTTGTGATTATGAATGCTATTTGCATGATATCAAAGATTAGTGAAAACACAATAAACCCAATCTTGGCACTGTTGCATTTTGACTTATTAATTTGATAGTGACTCTAGACCTTTCCACTGCATGCTTTGCAGATTAAAATGGTGCTTCTGGAGTTTCACTGACAATGAAAATAGATGACAGAAACATGTAATCTGTTGAGATTGCAGTTATTTATCTGTATAACAGTCAGTTGGTTTTGGAAAGATTATGTGTGGTATTAAGTGTGGTATAATTGAAGAAAATACATTCGGAATCAGTAAAAACAGGACTGCAGCCTTCCAAAAATATTTAGTTTGAATCAGAGAACATATTCAGGAGAAAAATAAATTAAAGTCTAGAAAGTATGAATGAAGTAAGAATGGTCTCTGTTGCATTAATAGAACAATTAGTAAAACAAAATAAGGAGAAAGAAAGCACTCTACAGGGAAACTAAAAAGGAGCAAGATCCAGAGAACAGAGAGTGCTGAATTACAACCACGGGTCAAAAAAACTTTAGAATGGCCAAGAGAGACATAAGTCTCTTAAATAATTAGATGATTTTGAAGATGACAGAGAAATATCTGAAATAGTAGTTAACACAGCTGTTTTCTGAAGAGGAAATTAAATCAGCAAAGCAGGGGCTGAAGCTATTTGTGACTTAATAAAATTTAACCTGTGGCTTTAGATGGTTTTGAACCAGTTATACAAGAGGAAATGATGGATGTTCTTGAATGGTCCTTTCTAGAGCCCCCCCAGCCCATTCTCAAGGTGGATAAATTCCTGAAACTGATGTTTGTGGGCATGAAAATTAATGCATGCATTCTCATTGATAACTGAATGAAGGGTAGAAAACACAAAGAATATTGCCAGGCAACATATGTACAGTAAAAGGGGAACTGTAGCCCTCTTCTTTCAAGTTGGTTTAATGTTTTTGCTTTAATTTAATGTTTTAATGTTTTTTTTAAGGTCTCCATGGGGTCACTCATTACTCTACCACCCCACAGCCCATTCTAAAGACTTTTTTGTCCCATTTGAGTGTTAAACTTTATCTCCATACTGTATGTCTGTTCTTTTGACACCATTTTCCATGACTTTCCTCCTGTCTGACAGAGACACACGGGGCAGCATGATCAGGTTCCAGACTGTTTATTTACAGCTTTTAACACTTAAATACAGCTGCACACAACATATTTGAAACAAACAAAGAAACACACAAATAAATAAAGTGACCACGTTAAATATAAAGGAAGTGCAAATCTCTTTCTCAAAATTCATGGTATGTCATGAGCACCCTACAGTATTTCATTTGAAATAGAGTAATGCAAGGAAGCCTGTAAGAAACTGAGACACTGTAGATAGATCATTGAAACTAAACATAGATAATGGGTTTAAATCACATACAATACATAAATATTATTAATGTAATTATGTATTTTGTAATTTTACATTTCTTTGTCCTGTCAAAACAGAAAAGCTGCTGAATAACAGACTCCAAAGTCTAGAGTTAGGAATCGCCTATTCTAGTCTGGCCATCTTGAATGAAAATGAAGTAAGTACAGCCATTTACAGCCAATATAATTAAAATAATACAACACAGGTAATAATGAAGTCCCATGGTCCAAATGAAACCATAACCTTGCCTCACTCATTAAACATAAATGACAAACTCAGTCCTTTATAGCCCTCTGCTTCTGCAATTCTGTATACTTGACACTGATCTTGTAATTTCCTACCTGTGGCAGCGGTAAGTGTTAATAAACTTAATACTTGGGATGATATAGCATAGCATTTACATACCTTGTATAGTCAACAATATAAATATACTCAGTATAATATAAAAATCTCTGTGTTGGCACTGGCAAAAACTGAACATTGATGTGAAAAATGTTAAACGGTAAGTAAGGGGGTTAGGATTTAGGGTTTAATTAGAGTGTTAAGGATTAAGATTAATGAAGAGGGTACGGTTTAAGGGTTCAATTCCTGGGTTAGATTAAGGTTCAGAGCTAGAAGTTAGGGTCACGGTGGAAATCCTTGTCTGAGATCCCAGATTGTGCTGTGACCAGGAGTCACGGATTCTGCAAACTTGCATACATATGGCTGATGAAACTGTACTCTGTTGAGAAATAAAGTTATTAATTGACTGTGATGCTTTTCACAGAAGTGTCGCTAACTGTATCAGTCAGGAAACAAGGCAATCTGACTATTCTCGACAAATAGAGCAGAGGCTGAACACTGCTGCTGAGGTCCATGAAGGCAAACGCAATGTGATGAACATAACACTTAAACACAAGAGGAGAGAAGTAGTTCTGGAAAGGGAAAAGAATGACAGGTGGGAAATAATGAAACACTATAATGGCCAGAATGATAAGGACCATGTTGAAGGCCTTCTTCTTCACAGGATGCATCTCATCCCTCCCTGGGCCAGACCTTTTCAGAGCCCAGAGGATGGAAAGGTTACAGAACACCATGATGGAAAAAATTGTAAGGATCATAACACTGAACACACGGTGAAAGTCCTTCACTGCGCCCGCAGCGTAAGAAATGGCGTAGCTAATGATAATGACCATCAGCACCTCCGCACAAATGATTCTGTGCTTCTGACCCCTGAATTTTGTGAAGGTGATGGGGTGCAGCACTGCTAGGTAGCGGTCCAGACAGATACAAGTGAGCAACAGGGGAGAACCATCTTTTATACCGTACGCGACAGACTGGACTTGCCAGACAGTCGCATGATTCAGCAGTAACCTGTTGAGCAGGTCAACAGGAGACATGAGGCAGAAGAAGGTGTCCAAGATGGCGAGGTTCAGGATGAAGATGTCCGAGGTAGTGAAATCGGCTTTGGTCCTGCGTAGAAGCCACAGCACCATAAGGTTGGCAGGCAGTCCCAGGACAATGTTGATAGCCTGTGCGCTGACGTATATCATAGGTCCCGCGGGGATGACTTTGCACTCCTCGAAGAAACTCGGCGGCTGGACTGTGGCGTTGGGCGTGTTGTAATTGGGGAGAGGGCTTGAGTTGGTGTAGAGAGCGTCTACCATCTTTGCTGAACACTAAGAGACACAAACAGACATGGTTAGTCTTAAATCACAGCATACAGAGCTTGAATTCAGTGAATCATGACTGAAAAAGTAACCAAGGTCAAAATCAACGTTTCTACGTAAAATGTTTTTTTTTTTCACCTGCAATAAAATATCCTTTTGTTTAATACATTTAATTAAAACTACTCTCTGGTACTTTATATTTTACATTTAAGTTTCTATTAGCCTCTGGGAACACCATCAGTCAAAACCTCAACACTTATCTCATGTGCAGGTTGGAAAAATTATATCGGCTTGGAACTGCCTTGCCTTCTAGCTGGTTTTCACAACGGTTACAGCCTGAGAATTTGTTTTCTCTTTGGTATCGTACAGAGTTTTCATCAAACTCATCAACAACATACTGATGCTCAATGCTGGATTCTCAAGTACACTTCAGAGTTTGCGATGCAAATTGGCCAGTGCAAGTCTGAGGTTAAGCTATGTGCCCCAGCAAATGTCTGAGTGTTTATCTCTCAGTTTTATACAGAAGTGCATTGTGCTTATGATTTACCTAAGTGCTCTAAAAAAACATGTCACCCTCACCACCAATGCCCTGTGCATGAAAATGTGCTTGTGTAGGAGCAGGTGTCACTTTGCATGTACAGTACAAGGCATAATCAGACTGCAAGTGAATAGTTGCTAAGCCGTGCATCAAGGTATCCATCCAACGTGTTAACTAGTTTAGTTTACCCATTCATACATCACTTCATTAATCATTCACTTACAAAAAGCGATTTCTGACACTTCGGAGATGTAACTTCCTTCCTGGACAGAGTGACAGCAATGAATGACAAACAAACTCACTTCCGATGGCTTGTACATTGTAAAGGCTTTTTTCCCATATTGCAAAATTATTGTCATGTCAACTGAGTTGTACATACACAGTGATTAACACACAGAGCAATTATGTAGCATGAGTCATGGTAACAAGAATGATCTAAGTTCTGAACTGACCTCATATGTGTGACTACCAAGACCTACGGATTACAAAACATCCTCCTGCTCATACGCAGATTTCTGCTCTCTTACATTGTAAGGGTCATGTGTTTCAGCAGCACAAATATGAGTAATGACAACACGCTACTGTTCCAGTCAACTTCTAATGACAGGATTGCACTCCACACCTTGCAGCATTTATTTAACGCTTCAAAGCACATTTTAGGATTTACAGCAGAGTTTGTTCATTGGTATTAGAATTGCATCCATTTTTGGTATTTTCATGTTTGCGTACACACAAAGAAGCCTAAGATCGCCCAAGTCAGTTCCATTGCTTTGTCAAACTAATGAAAAGCAGTAACCTGAGTATTTCCCACCTGTGGGGGAATTCTGACCTGACCAGCACTTAGCAGTAACAGGTAAAGTGTGGTAGCAGTGCGGACTGCAGAGGACAGGGCTCACGACTTGATTGATGTGTAATCTGACCGTTGCTGGGCAACTGCCATATGTTCCAGAAGCCAGCAGAGCACTGGGCGATGGCTGTCCAGTGATGCTACTGATGGCAATCTCTAGGATAAAAGCCCATTGTTTTTCGTTGCTTGAGTTAACAGGAGGTATACATCGAAATGCAAAATCGTTACCTCCCCTTTGACTTTATGAAGAGATGCTGATATTTCGACTGCTTGATGTATTAATGTAATAAAATGAAGCATTTTTTTAATGTGTTCTAAGCATACTGTTACATAACTATATTCCTTGTTCGGAATGGCTTCCTTGTTTCCCAGTGGATATTATGTCCTTTTTTCTTAATTTACAACACTTACTAGCAGTAGTAGGTATATCTGAGTACTTACAATGGTTTCATTTATTAAAGTTGTGCACCAATCTTATGTACGTACTGTATAAGCAATAAATGAATTTCTTAGGTCTGTTTAAGGAAATGTAGAAAATTGCAGTATATTTTAAAAAACAATTGTAACTTAATAGCCTATAACACAATTTTAGTCATGTTGCTGAGGTATTTCAAGATTTACATCACAGCTACACAGTTTGTGGCTTCTACACAGTTACAGCAGTTTAAGAGGTTACACAACAACTGAGCTCAAAAACTGATAATCTCCAATAGGCACAGGAGCCTCTGTCACGTTCTCTAAACTAAAGGTGAGGCATTAAAAAAGTAAAATTGGCAGGAAATTTTAACTAGTTTAAACTTGCTATTGTACATTTAATAAGCATTAAGGAATTGTCTTTTCTATTATAAAGTTAATCGTATAAAGTATGCTTTGTGTATTTTATGATTGGAGCAGTTAGACCAGTTAGGCTTTATATTGAAAGACTCTTAAATGTCCTAACTTCCATACCACAAAAAATGCATAAAGTATATATGTTCTGTGTATCTACATACATGACAACAAAATACTCCTTCATTAGATTATGCATATTTTACCAAAAAAGTGGAAGTAATTTGAGTGAGTTTCTGTCACGATCCGCACGCGAGCACTTAAACGCCACCGCATTCCCATGAGCACCTCTCATCCCGCGCACTAATTAATCAATTATCATTCCACACTCTTCCCTATTTATACCCTCTCAGTCTCCGCTCACTATTGAGCCTCCCTCTTCCGAGCTCAACCCTCGCTGTACCTTTCTGGGGAAAGAACACTTTAAACCTAATCGTCTTTTGGCTCTCGAAACCCCTTGCTCAATCCCTTGACTATGGCGTCGCTTTCCGTTTCTAGGACTTCGCATAGGCACCTAACCAGACGCTTCACTGCAGCCCCTGACAGTTTCTTTCTGGATGAAGGCGATAGTCCTCGTATTTGTTTGTTATGTAAAAACAGCTGGCAGCTGGAGATCTATTTGCATGCAACTCTTCTCCTCTCAGGTGACTGTACAGTCCTGCATTAAGTCCATAATATTGGAGTCTTTGCTCGCAAGAAGGTTCTCTTACCTGCTAGAACTGCAGCTTTCCTTGGGCGTCCAGTTCCTTCTTGTTCGGTGGTACTGTATGTCTTAATTCTAGATTTCAGCACTTCAGATGTCCTTGATTTTGCTTTGGGGCCATTTCCTTGCAGCCAATGGCAACCGCTCTTTCTGACTGTGAATCCAGGTCCTTTGTCTTGACCATTAATGTCCTGCAACACGAAGGCGTGGTGTTCCTTGCCGCACAGTTAGGGCTACTGACGTAAAAATGTGCATACTTTCAAAATTAAATCAGGGAAAGAAGGAACTGACATTGCCCAAAACACTGCAATGCATTTTCAGCTGGCTAACCAGGAAACACTGACTTCTCCTTTTTGTCAATTCAATCAGCAGCAAAAGTCATACTCAGGAGTGTTGATTCAAGCCCCTGAAAAGTGTTCACAAAGTCAGCCACGATGACATCTTCGAGACCAGAACTGCTTCAGTTTGGGATGAGTTCCTTAGCAGTCTTCTCGACAGTCGTGATCACTACACAGCACGGCAACTAAACAAGCAAGGTGTAAAAGTCCCCTCTCCTTCGTGAGCTCTTTTATGTTCTTCGGTGAAATCCTCCTGGCACCAGCATCAAGCTTATATTCTTCTCTTCATTGTTGACATTTTTATAAAATAAGGTCCTTGCTCAGGAGTACCACAGTAGTGTCCAACTCAGCTCATGAACTCCACCTTCACATCCGACAGCTCTTACAAGTATTTTTACATATATCATTTAGCCTAGGTGTCTTAGAAACTCCCACAGCAAAACTGTTTTTTGGCAAGAAGCATTCTGAATGGAATGAAAACAGCTGTCAGAAACGGGTTTGTGTTCCAATAAGAAGCAGCTGTTGGGTAGAATATTCAGATCCGTTTTTTAAAGAATATATTTACATAGTTGCAAACCCCTGTCAGTTTTAGATATTATTAAAACCTTTTTGGCAAAAAACATTGACTTGTTCTGAAGTAGTACAGCCCTTTATTTAAAAATGCTTCCTTTTTAACATTTAAATGAACTTCCTGTTAGTTTCCAGTTGTGTCTTGCACTCTGCTTTCCCCTTTTCAGAGTCTGCATTTTTAATGCATTTAAAGCACACTAGAGACCATGTTGAAACATTTATAAAAGCTGATTGCTTTGTCCAAAGTCCACTTTGTACTAGACCAGAGGTAGTGTCTCCCCTTTGCTTGATGAGTGTAGAGGGATCACCTGTTTATTTAGTCATAAGCAATGATTTATGGTATCCTGGCTGTGGTGTAAGTTTTGAAAAGGCGAAGAAAACTATTTAAATTTTTCAAGCACTCACATGTCTTGGGTAGGGTAAAATATGTACTGTAAATGAATGCAATCATCTTCCTGTTTTTTTAAAGGCCACTTTTTATTATGTGTTTTATTATGGTTGAGATAATACCTCCAATGGTTGCATGGCTCTGTTGGTTGAGTAACTTAATAACACTTCGCTATGAAGTAATGATTAGTCACAAGAAAAGATCCGGCATTTCCTGGCTTTGTGCCCTTCTTATACCCATTAATAGTCAAACTATTAATAACTAAAACCAAATTGTGGGTTGGCTTGAGATCCTTTTCTTCAAAAGCTAATTTGAGCAATGAGAAAAAAACTCATACTGAGCCTTTATACCAAATTACTGTTGCTATATCAAACACTATGACTTATTGTGAAGTCTTGTGTTATGTTCAGGTAAAGTATTTAAACATAATTATGAATGTTGGTACTATCAGGCTGTGTATGTCTCTCAGGATTAAGATGGGATCAATATAAAACAAGTAAATGTGTTACTAAGTCCTCATAGAACACATCTATTAGTGCCCTAAAGTGAAGTTTTAGAAGGATTCACAAGAGACACTTCTGCACCAATCCCTTCTGCATGATATGTTAACATATCCGACCACTTTGTTATTCGACTATGAATTCATCCAGCTAGAACACACTCAAAGTACAAATTATCAGCTTGACCCCGATATGTACAAAAGGCAATGGACAACTGAGACTGCCACAAATAATCTCAGAGACATCACCAATCCTGAGTCAACATCCATAGGTAGCAGCTCTTTACGAAATGTATAACAAGTCATTTTAAAGAGTGTGCACGGCTATACAGTGTAAGTCACACCGAATCTTACCTTCTTGGCGGCTTTTCAGGAAGACGACCCCGTAATTAAGACGACCCACCGCCTCTATCAGGTTCTGACACTGGTGAAAAACAAGAGAGATGAGCGAAGTCAAATCGGACCGGCTTCCTGAATCACAGACTTATAACAATGCTGACAGAAGAGGTGAAGCAATACATTGTAACACTGGCTGATTGCCTGGAGGGAGAAGGGAGTTAATTGCGCTCAGCAGAGGGGAGTTCCATGTGCTGAGCAGGGAGGCAAACAGGGCATCGCCAGGACTCGGCCCCTCACTGTGGCACATTTCCCAACACCTCAGAACGCTCAGCACCGTGCCGCGTGTTCATTCAGGATCCTGCCCGGTCACACTGCGCCTCTTCAGCAAACCCTCACCCTGAACTGGACCGGCTTCTCCTCCAGTATCTCCGCTTTGACTCAGAGGTTCAGAGTGTCGAAGAAAAGTCTTCACTCAGGTTAGGTGTGGTCAAGCAGAGTCCCTTTATACATGCGCATGGGGAGGATATAATCACGCGGACCTGAGAGCAGCCTCTCATACAGATCTGTGAGTAACCTCTCCACCGAGATGATAAATGCAATGAGTTTTATACCGCAAATTCACACTTAGAAAGCTTCTAAGTTTCCATATTAGGAGTTGTTTTTCTCTCTACAAACATTTCTTTGTAATTGACCACATTCTTCTTAAGAAGCAGTTCGACCTTGCATACAGACAAAAGGAAGTACTGTATATAAATAAAGGTGTGAAATAAGATAGACATACTGCAGTTGTACCATTAATATCAAAAAGTCAAATAATATGCTTACAATTATTCTTTCATATTGTTGCTGGGTAAAAAGCATTTTTCAAAGCCAACTAGTCACTATCTTATACACTTTAAAAAAGGTAAATGCTAAAATTCTTCCTCAAGAGGCAGCGGGCGAGAAGATAAAGGGAGCAACCACCAGGCGGCGAGAGCTGTGGAGCCTGACTGACACCATCGGCACTGCTTCACAGACTCCTGCAGTGCAGAAGCATCTGCAGGTAAGGTCTAAGAGCTGTAAGGTGCATAGAGACAGAAGACCTATAAAGTTACTCACAAGTTTGGAGAAGGAGAAGAGCGATGTTTTGAGGAAGGCAGGATGACAGTGTGAAGGAGGGCTGTGAGTTCTTATAATAAGAGAGTGAATGAGGAAGTGGGCTCCGATCTAGGAGCAAAGCTAAAGCACGTTCAAACAATCCCCAACACACAGGATGCAACAGAAATGCCAGGGGTCGCTACAACAGCAGCTGAAAGTGACTGGAGAATTGCATGGGTGGTACAAAGATAGACAGAACGGCAGGCACCTACATGCCAGTCTCACCTGTGCTGTACCTCTCCAATTAGGTAAATGTTCATTAGGGCTAAAGTGGGATAATTATTTTAGGTGGCCGAAAAGTTCTAGTCAAAAGTAAAAACATGTATTTATATTTTTTGAGAGGGCGTAATTATTAGAGGTGGTCTACAGGCTTAGGAAAGGTACACTGCGTTCATTACCTTGATTACAAACACATAGAAAGGTTTTGATGGAGTCCCATATCCAAGGACGAGTCTGAATGATGTGGAACCCAAAGGTAAAGAAGGAGATTGATGAACAGGGACTAGACAGTGCTGAGGCTGATAAATGCAGCCAAAGTGGGGTTTTGTAATTAGGACCACTAATCTTCCTAATTTATTTCAATGTCAGTCTAAAGGCGTGTTTTAAAAACAGAAAAACATTCTTGGTTGGATTAAGAATTTACATCAAGTAAAGGACATTTAATCTTTATTCTACAATGGGTGTTTGTGTTAATGCATAATGCTTTATCTATAATTCATCCAATACCATTTACAATAATAATAATAATCCTAATAATCCCCATCTATGAATTGGCTTCATCACTCTGTTCTCCTCCCACTGAGAGCTGGTGTGTGGGGAGAGTACTGGTACACTACGGCTGCCATCCCATCATCTAGGTGGATGCTGCACACTGGTGGTGGTGGAGGGGATCCCCATTACCTGTAAAGCGCTCTGAGTGTCCAGAAAAACGCTATATAAGTGTAAGCAATTATTAGCAATTATTTACAAATTGAAAGACTGTTACTCATTTTCAACATGCAAAACTGAAGCCTCTCAATTCCTAAGTATAAGATAAAAGGCTATTTAGGAACAAGTAAAGGTTTATTCCAGGCTGAAAAGAGAAGAGAAGAAATACAACTTTTCTCCGGCTGTGAGAAAGAGGAAAGTCAGCAGCTGCTAAAGCAAAAGAGAACAACAGCCAGGAGTGTAGGGGAGGCAGGAGCAGGGGGAGGCGGAGTGGACACTCAGGTGGCGCGAAGTCGAGAGAGGTGGTGAGGAGAGGTGTGAGGTCGAACCCTGCAAATGAATGGAGAGGACTGGAGAGAAACGAGTCTGTCGTTGAGAGAAGGGGGAAGGTGTGATCCTAAGATCCCATCTCCTCTCCACTTTGGGTCTCCTTTGGGCTTTGGGTCTCATTTGCTTCATCAGCTGGTTTCCTCTTCCTCACACCTGAAGAAGGCTCCACAGCCAAAACATTGTGTTTCCTTTCTTCTCTTTTCAACAGGAAATAAACCTTTACTTGTTCCTTTGCAGCCTGCACATGCTGACGCAGCTCCCTGCTTAAACTACTAAAAGGCTATTTAGCCCATTTACCTGTCCTCTTGCTTTACTCGTTGCGATTTGAATAAATGGTCCCAGTGTAGGAAGGTAGGTCATCAGTTTTGAGAACAACAGTTTTGTGTAGCTTCTTGCATACATTGTATAAAAGCACTTCTTGTTCTTGTTTTTTACGGCACTTACAGTACCATGGCCCCAGAAAAACAGATCTTTTCCTTTTTTTGCAGGATTTTTAATGTCAAATGATGTGAAAGTTTTACACCTCTAAATGAGAAGCAGACATTAATAACAAGTACATAGCTGTATGCCTTTATTAATATCAACCAAGTAATATCTGTCAATCAAATATTCAAAAGATTTTTAAGCAGTCATAGAATGCATAATATAAAATAGTGTATAAATGTGTTAATTATAGCACCAGTGTGGACTAGCAGAAACTAAATATGGAGAAATCTACAAAAACAGCTTTATAAGACTAGCTTACATTAGTGATCTTGTTGGCAATATAATGCAACAAAATCTCAAACTACACTAGTAACATTAGTAACACAGTTATCCAGGCATAAGTCCACCATATTCAACAGACAGCAGATGAAGTTGCATGAAAATGAATGTGAAATCCTATATACCAGGCACATAATATAACAAGTGAAATAGAAGAGGCTGGGCTGTTTTTGATCAATACTTTTGAGGTAAATGCACATCGAGATTCTGAAGTGTTTCGTGGAGTCTAACTACCTCGAGTGGAGAAATGATAAACTATAGTAGTTCAGGTGGGGAGCTGCGTCAGCATGCGTAGGCTGCAAAGAAACAAGTAATAGGTTTATTCCATGCTGAAAAAAAGAAGAAAGAGAACACAACGTTTCGGCCGTGGAGCCTTCTTCAGGTGACACAAACCTCGGATAAACGAAACACAATCACGTCAGAAACCGCGCCGCCCTCGTTTTCTATCATCCACCGCCACTGAAGCTTCTAGAATTTACGCAAATGATAAACTATGCCAGGTTGTGCTAGTTAAACCGTTAAATTCAGACAGGCATTTATATAATTGTATGAGGAACCACTCGAATAATTTAGTGAGTAAAACAGAAACCGTTCAATATAGTTTAGAAAACAGAAGTGGCTCCTTTAGGTTGGAAAAGAAAACGTAAGGTTTTATTTAGTGGCTGACATTTTTCTCAAAGCAAATAACAGTTTTGCAGTCTTTGCACGGCTGCACATTTTAAAAAACTCATGAAGTGCACTGTACAAGGGATTAACAGTACTGCCCACTGTCACTTCTACATTTCCCCGTAAGAAAGGCTGGCCGTTCTTGTGCAGACTCCTCAAGAAACTTGGCCAGGTTTCAATAAACAAACGTCTTTTATTCAAATTCACGATGGTTTCGTTGACAAAACAAAAATCAGAAGTTTTCTACCATAACCAACTAGTCCACAAACCTCGGATAAACGAAACACAAGCACGTCAGAAACCGAGCCACCCTCGTTTTCTATCGTCCACCGTCACTGAAGCTTCTAGAATTTACACAAATGAACTTGAGAGATTGGTTAACAATCTTAAAGGCATACACGCAATTGCGTAATAAAACAACGTGGTTTTCAAATAGCGGAACATCAACATATTTTTGACTACGTACTTACAGGATTGTTTTTAAAAGAATATAACCAAAAATTAAAACACCACATGGCTCCTACACCTACTTAGAAATTTAAACCCACTTAAAAATATTTCCTCTAAGTTTTCATTTTGCTGCTTGCGTACAATAATACATACTTTTATATTGTAACGCATACGGCCGACATCAGGGGTTGTGCGAGCCGGCTCACCACCGCAGCCGTCGGGCTGATGGGAGATTTCCCTTTAGCTCAGCTGGCTGGGTCCCTGTTGAGTGACGCCGAAGGCCCGGGTTCGAGTCCCCAGCGGTGGGGGGGCCGACCTGAGGCGGTAGCGGTGAGGGTGCATACACACGTGTACCAGAGAGCGCTACAACATTTTACAGTGTGTAATCCTCCTCATCACTATCTAAGTTCCAGAGGAGTGATATCACCAGTACCAGGACAAGGGCAGAAACACCTGCGACTCAACACTCTCCCACCCTACGAACTCCAGAAAACTAAGTAGAAAACACCTGGATTTAAAGGCAAGAGCAAATAAACAAGGCGACAGCAATCAATCTGGTTCTTGAACCTGTATTCTGCAGTGTTTGACACTCTTTTGCAGAGACACAGAATAAAGCAAATTGCAGTCCTGCTCAGGTTATGGCTATTTCTGTCTGCCACTCCATCTGATAGCAGCCCTTTCACAGAAACAGTGCATGATGTCTGAGTGCTTTTTCTATACAGATGTGAGAAATCACTCTCGTTTCCTGATGCTGCAGCTCAGACAGTTGCAGACTACAGTTAAAAAAACGTGTAGTCAAGTGGAAGTAATACAATTCAGTAAATGCACAAGAGATCTACAAGAATGCACTTACCCGAATATATGAAAATTCTCTCTGAAACTAGATGAAAGAGCCTGATTTAAGACTGTATACAAAATCTCCAGTCCTGATCCAGGGCTACATTTCAGAAGGTTCTAGCAGTTTGAGCACCTGAAATCAAGAAACAATGAACCAGACGAATGTACTGTAGAAAGATTGGACTTGGAAGGCAGTGTCATCTTAATTAAAAGAATTGGTTGTTTCAGTGCAGTTAGTTAACAGCACAAGTGGTTATTGATTATTTCTTCACAGGACTGATGCTAAACAGTGGCAACATCAGCATGTTCACCACAATCACAACCCCGCCAGCGCATCACCTTAGTCCCCCTGCATTTCAGTGGTCCATCTTTGATCACAGACAAGCCTCCCTGGACTTCTAAATCTTACTTTGCATGGTGAAGTCTGCATGGTCCGAAGTTCTCCTATCTTCACTAGGCATCATTCACTCCTATTTAGGCATTGACCTGACTCACTCCAGGTCACTATAGCCATTAGCTTTAATGCTAGCTACACCGGCTGATCCCATTTGGCCAGGACACCTGGCAGTCTAATTAACAAGCACTCACACCCCAGACAGCAGCAGTAGCCAGTCAGGTGTGCTGTCTCGGAGAGACATCAACAGTCTGCTGGTGGTATAGCACAGGAGTCCTCAGGACCCTCTGCTGTCTAGACTCCCCACCCAGCTGTGGGGAGAGAATAGGCTGCTACTTTGCCACACGTTGCCCTATTTCTTTAGGTGCAAACACCTCCCGTCAGCCCTGGCTCAGCTGGCCAGACCTGTTCCTCAGGAGCACACTTCAACCCTGCTGGGCCTAGCAAACCAACCACCATGCAGTCTGCTTATCCAGCACTTGTGATGTCCCTCGGTACAGCCAAAGCGAGGTCTTCTCACACTTCCTACACTCACTGAGCCCCACGGGCCTGTTAGGCAGATGAAATCAGTGTTACAGAGCTCTCTCCCTCTCCCACTTTCTCTCCCACTTCTTCACCCATTCTCTTTCTCTCTCCTTCTCCCTCACACTCTACCTCACCCTCTCCCTCTCCTTCTCCTTCTCTCACTCCTATTCCCACTCCCTCTCCACTTCCTCTCCCTTTCCCTCCCTTTCCCAGACACAGTCTGAACCCTCTTCCTTCTGGCTGCTCTTATTCACCTTTCCATTAGTCCAGGGAAGAGGCCAATTGTACTCATGCCTATTCTGTCTGCTCCTTCTCTTGTGTGGAATCTCACTCCCTGTGGGTGTCAGTTATTCTACGAGCCCAGGTGTGTCACATTATAACCTGTTTTGTGCATTAAAAGGTGGGTTTCTCTTATAGCCACCTCTTACTACCTCACACATACCAACATCTTTTTAAACTACAGTACTCTTGGGTTCTACACAGCACTTTCATAAGAGGAAGAAGAAAAGTTACAAATGAAAGCAAATTATTATGCCCATCCAACCTATATAGTTATTTTAGGCACTAATTTCTGCAAGGACCTCATGCAGCTAGGATTCAATAACAAGACTGTGTAGCTTGTCCCATACTCTCAAAATCTTTGTGTAAAAAAGTGACTCCTGTTCTCATAGTACCCGGGGCAGGAGTGCAATGCAATTCTTTATAGTAAGTTTGCAACTGCGTCCCTCATGTCTCAGATCTTGGTTTCTTCCAAGAGCTCCCCTGGTAAGTCTGAGTAACAAAGGGTGTCCAGCTTCATGTTCTGTAAGCCTTTGTTTCAGAGGATATGATGTTCTCCCTGGGTCCTTCCCTATTCTATTTTAATTTTACACTAGATTAAGCCACTTGCCTTTAAAAAAGAACATATTGCCATGATTTAAAAAATCCCAAGTGAGGTAATAAATTGTGTTTTTTTTTTCCACTAAAGGAGGTGAAACTACTGAAAATAAGAGACTGACTAACATAAATACATACATTAAATAGAGAAGGCGAAATGTTGCTAAACTGTGATAATACCAGCTTTATCTCTGCAAATCACTGTTTATGAACTATCCTTAGTTTCTAGTGCTCATCAGGGAGTGTGCATTAAATTATTTGTGCTTCTGTGTCACTCAAGTGTGTGTCACACAATGATAACTTGTATGTTCTTATATTTGACTTTGTGTTAGTATTTATACTGTATATCAGGTTGTGAGAGATGTTCTTGTACATGAGGTGCATTATTAACACTTTATAAACTGAATTTAGTTAAAGGTTGTAACAGTAGATATTTGCGTTCTATATTTTAAATACACAGCACACATTAATAACAGCATATGTAATAATACACACTTAATAAAGTACAATATTTACAATGTTGTACTGGTTCTGAATAGGCAGCTACTGTAACTCAGTTCTATGTCACAAGTGTCCACAAACCTCAAACTGAAGGGTTCAGATTTTAAACTTTACTTATAAAGTGTTCATTTTGTGTTTGTGATCAACTCCTTTTAAATACCTTACAGAGAAAGACTTCAGCCCACTGAAACTCAGCAGTTGTGAGCCTGGCCAGTACCTGGATGGGAGACCTACTGGGAAAGGCTGATGCTGGAAGAGGTGTTAGTGGGGCCAGTAGAGGGCGCTCACCCTGTGGTCTGTGTTGGGCTTAATAGCCCAGTATAGTGACGGGGACACTATACTGTATAAAAGGAGCTGTCCTTCAGATGAGATGTAAAACCAAGGTCCTGATTCTCAGTGGTCATTAAAAACCCCAGGGCTTTCAATTTTTCTCAAAAAGAAAGGGGTGTTACCCCTGTGTTCCAGCCAATCATGGCCTCATAATAAACCCCATCTATGAACTGGCTTCATCAGTCTGCTCTCATTTCCACCAATAGCTGGTGTGTGGTGAGCGTACTGGCCCACATTGGCTGTTGTTGGAAAGGTGAGACTACACATTGCTGGTGGTGGAGGGGAGTCCCCATTATTATTATCACCATTGAGCATCTTGATTCACTGATTGTTTTGTTTGTGAGCAAGAAAAATACAATCATTACAGCAAGATGTACTGTAGACTGGTAACAGAACATTCTGAAGCTCTTACAAATACTTGTAATTGTGGTTGAGAACAGGAAATATTTACAACAGGAAAAAAATGGAACTTAATCAAAACCCAGTCTTACGAAAACAAGGAAAAAAAGTATTGCAAGTTCCGCTTGAAGTACAACGGGCAGAGTTATTTCGCTGAGTTGCTCTAATACTATGAGTAATCACAGGAACACTTTTGGCTTGGCACTCAGCAAATCAGTTGATTCAGCTGTTGTACTTCCCACTAGGGGAGCCTTCCGTGTGGAGTCTGCAAGTTCTCCCTGTGCCTGTATAGCTTTTCTCCAGGGACTCAGATTCATCACACGGTACATGTAAACAAACAGATTCATGCTCTTCTTCTGAGCATATCTTGTAATTACTGGCCTCTCTATGGGGAAAGCGAGCAATGCTCGTTAGACAGCACAGTGTGAGCAGGGTAAACCGCTGTGACATGGAAAGAAACTTTGGCTGGCAAAAAAGGAAATAAAACGAATTGTTCGGTTGTCCCCAGTCTGCCCATTCATTTGTCCCAGTTCAAAGGCAACATGCAAGACCTGAGCTTGTCTGGTTACTTCAGGCCCAACTGGGGTCCCAGTCTACTGCATTAGCCCTCTTTTCCACACTGATCTTGGCAAGCAGGGCTTCCTGAGTGCAGAGTCCCAGATGGGACTGGCTGAAAACCTCTGATGGCCCTCTCACTCATTTCCAAACCTTGTGTTTTATGTGCAGTCCTTTTTTGTTTTCAAAAACCCAGATCTTTCACACAATGCGTGCTCAATGTGAATATATCTTAATGGCAAGGTGGGGGGTTAAGATCATGCTAAGGATGCTCACAGAGGCAGTGAAAAGACAGTTAAGTTAGGCGAGGGGTGCAATTTGGGGCACATGTGTACCTGGACGAACGTAGATGCCAGCCGAGTGTTTGTTTTTCCATTGAGCTCATAGCAACAACAAAAAAAAAACATTTGAAGATGTCAAAACGTCTAAAAAAAGAAATAGAATGGGAGAAAAAAGGGAAATTCCGAGACTGAAGGACAGAATCTGTTTTTCAATGGACTTGATGTTTGCGTAATACATGAAAGCAGTAAAAGCTGGCATTTTGAAAGATTACCAAATTCACCGTCACTGTGTAACATTGCACAAATTACGCTGAGTTTACTGTTAATTCTTTTGATGATGAAATCACAAAGGCAAAAGAGCCTCTGGAATTTCTGCACACTGTAAAAAACCTGGACCTTGCAGTGATGTTACGTAAATTAACTGTTTTGATTTACAATGCCTTGCATTTTTGATTACAGTGCCTTGCACTGTTGAGCAAGAGTGTGTCCCCGACAGAAATAAATATTGAAGCAGTTCAGGTGGGTATCTGCGTCAGCGTGCGTAGTCTGCAAAGGAACAAGTAATAGGTTTATTCCAAGCTGAAAAGAGATTAGAGAAAACACCAAGTTTCGGCTGTGAAGCCTTCTTCAAAGGCTATTACCTGTTCCTCTCCATCTGTGTTCTCAAAGATGTTTTTCCTAACTCCTACATCAGCAAGACTTCGGAAACTAAAATTATCCTGCAGCTTGGATCCCACCTTTCCCCTTCTCTCAACGACAGACTAATTTTCTTCTGTATTCTCTCTATTCATTGTAGGTTTCATTTCACACCTTTCTACACCTATCCTGACTTCACACCTCTTGATTGGCCAGTCTGTCTGTCCCCTGCTCCCACCTCTCACTCCTCCTCTCTCCCAGCTTTTGTTCTCCTGCTACATTACCTTTGCCTACTGCCCTGTCTCTCTCACACCTGAAGAAGGCTCCACGGCTGAAATGTTGTGTTTTCTTTCTTCTCTTTTCAGCCTGGAATAAACAGATTACTTGTTCCTTTGCAGACTACGCATGCTGACACAGCCACCCACCAGAAATAAATATTGAGCTGTTACCCAAGAGTCTTAAAACAAAATGGACAAATGGAACTTAGGTTCACACATATCACCATTACATTAACAATTCAGACTTCAAAACTCAACATGTTAACTTGAATTCCCACAAATGGTGAATGCCCTCAGTACCTAGAGTAAATAAAGGTTCTGGCAGGTGGTGGGTTTGAATCCCAGGTGTGGTACTGTTGTTGTACCCTTGAGCATGGTACATCACTCAGATAGCTCCATTAAAACACCATGCTGTATAAATATGTACAAATGCTTTGGATATATATCTCTCTTTAAAAACTTTAATCAAATGAATTAATAATAATCATGCGTAATTAATAACAATGAAATGGACCCCAAATCAAATATTGATTGTAGTCCAGCAAAGACCCCACACAGCTGCTGCTCTCACCAAGCTCCCTAACAATTCCAGAGGGCACCTCCACACAGTGCAATGTCTATAAGACGGATCCTGTGCAATAACTCCCTGATGAAGTTGCTTACAGCTCACAAAATAATTGATGTCTGTCTTCCATCCTCAGGGAAAAGCCATTGGAAGAATCCTGTAAAGACAAAGGCATCCAGAGGTGCTAGAAAAAACTGACAGAAGGAAATACTGAAACCATTTTCCTTAAAGTGTATTAACAAGAATTCCATAGACATGTTGCAGATGTGGATCGTGTAGGCAGGACTGGGACTAAACACAGCAGTTCTGTCTGTAAAGGATATGTGAGGAGACTTCCCCTTGTGTGAACGTCCTTGGATTCCTCTCCTGTATTGGTTAGACACACTCTGTGAGACTCCAGTACAATCAGGGAATGTTGGCAGCCATAGGTTACAACGCTGACCCAGACACTACAAAGATGAACAGGTTCGGTGAGTCGGCCTCTTAGAGGTACTTTAAATAGCAGTGTGAATCTTTCATCAGATAGGAAACAGCATTCGATACATGGTCTGACACCCAAACAACCACTCAGCCACTTTCCATACTACAGGGTTTAGAGGAAGCTAGTGCCATTTTGACTCACAAGAACACCAACAAACTTCCTATGACCTATCATCCTCCTGCCAGATGATGAGATCACCAGGGCAGCCCAAGGACTTCATGATTTGGGATTGGGACTATGCCTGGCCACACAATCGTGGGAAAACAAGGAAAACAGCAGGGGGCTAAGCACACCTGCCTGAGGGGCACCTATATTGACAGTCAGCATGGAAGAAAGTTTCCATCGTCCCCCACAGTCTGTATTCTGCCAGTCAGGAAATTCATAATCCAGCTGCAAAAAGAGGCTTTGATGCCCAAGTCATTAAGCTTCCTGACTAGTCTGGATGGAACTACTGTATAGTGTTAAAAGTGGAGCTGTAATCGATGAATAGTATTCTGACTTATGTGTCTCTATCATCCAAATGAGCCAGGGCAGTGTGAAGGCAGTGATAAATAAATCCAATCAATAGATCGAATCAATCAATACTTTGTTCATTGTTCAGTCCCTTCAAAATTGGAAGAGACTGACCTTGATCCATGAATGAAGCAGGTTGAACATGCTAGTGAGCTCATCCCACTGCATTGAAACACTTTCAATGTGACGTGAGTGTGACAGCTGAAGCACAAAGGAGCGTTGTTGTGGCTGTGTACCAAAAAAGAGACAACAGGGGGCGCTCTTCTCCAGGCAATAACAGAGCGAGCATTGGCAGGGAATTAAACAGCAACACGTGTGTGGTGCAGGCGAGATGAAGTCATGAAGTGGTTCAGTTTTTATTAAGAACATGGGTCTGTAGCATGAATATTGCATCCTTGAAACATGGGTATCAGGATCCACCATGTGCTAAAGCCTGAGCTTACATATTCTAGATTTTGCTAATAAAAGGCAGACTGAAGATATTAGCATACAATCTTCTTTATACCTGGAGACTAAGTTGTAGTGTGTTGAGAGTCTCGTATAGCTCTACACACAAACACAAACAGTACTCTCTTTATGAGCAAAAGCAGTTTATTGAACTAGCCAATCAAAACAAAAGGCTCAAATTCAAGGGGTCAATTACTCAATGTACAGCAAAAACAATCTGCTCAAAGAAATGGTACAGGTTGCTTCATTTTCAGTGGCTTAAACAATGTGGGCTATTTACTGTAGGTAAACAAGTCAGGAATAGTGATTGAAAACTATAAAGGTCAGAAAATGTAACATTTAATTAAGTTTCAATCTGCATTTTCAAAACGGTGTCTCAAAATAATACTACTACAAGCAACAAAATAATAAAAACATTTTTTTTTACTTTTAACAATTACCGAGATATAAAAGCATAAAGCATAAAGCCTTAAATGAACAGGCCTGTGAGTGGCTTCAGGGCTGGAGAGCAGACTAATGCCTACAATGTGAAGGTCCCAAGGTTCTCCTTTATTATCAACCAACGATCAATCAACATTTTTTCTCCTATAGCATCTTTCAATCCAGATCATTTTCAAGGCACTTTGTTATCAGTTGAAGGGACCAATCACAGTTAGCCAAGAATGCACCAATGCTGCACAGCTGGATCCAGCTGTCAGGTGTCTCAATGCTTTACAGTGTGTCTACCACGTGAGCGTTTTGGCTAGTGGTTAGGGCTTCTTTGGAAAACAGCACATCTTGCCTGAGGAGTTTGGCTTGTCCATTTTAGAAATGTAGAGCACTGGCTCAATGCTGCAGCTGAGATCCATGAAGGAGAAGAGGAAAACGCTGATGTAGCACTTGAAATCATGAGCAGGGAAGTGGTACTGGAAGGGGAAGAGAGCCACAGGCGGGAGATAATTAAACACGATAATGGCCAGAATGTTTAGAACCATCTTGAAGGCCTTCTTCTTCATGGGGTGCATCTCCTCCTTGCCTAACACTGACCGCCTCAAGGCCCACAGGATGGAGAGGTTGCAGAAGACCATTATGGTGAAGCAGGTGAGAATTACAATGCTGAAGGCCTCTACTATACTACCTATCCCAAGGATGGACTTGGTCAGGGAGTAGGCTATTGTAAAACCCCACACGGCCGCAGCACAGACTTCCCTGTAACTGCGGTCTTTGATCTTGGTGAAGGTGATGGGGTGCACCACGGCCACGTAGCGGTCCAGACAGATGCAGGTGAGGAACAGCGGGGTGACGTCTTTTAGCCCATAGGAGAACCTCTGGGCGTACCAAATCCGCTCATCGTTGAGAAGCAACCGGTTAAGCAGCTCGACAGGAGTCATGACGCAGAAGCAGGCGTCCAAGACGGCGAGGTTCACGATGAAGATGTCAGAAGTGGAGGAGTCGCTGGCCTTTCTCAGGATTAGCCACATCACCACCAGGTTGGCCGGCAGGCCGATGGCAAAGTTGAAAACCTTCACGCCAAAATAGAACACGAAGCCGGAGATGTCCGCCTCGCAGCCAAGGAACTGGCTCCAGGGCACGGCCGTGATGTTGGGGGCGCTGGAGTTGGTGTAGGAGGCCTCCATCGCGGGGCACGGGGCCTGGAGAGAGGGAATCTCTTCAAGTTATTCTCTCTGACAGCGAACTGTCAAGGGCCGCTGTCAGAGAGACCACAAGAAGAACACAGAAACACTTTAGTCCATTTTAGTCCAAGCTACAGTACAGCAATCGGAACCAGGGGAACAGGGTCCTGGTGGGAATTCAGGAAGCAAGATTAATGGGATTATCTGTTAGGGGAATTCATGTCGTACAAGGTAAACGTTGACGGCATTATCAGTATGCATACAAAACCCCACCTACGGTATGTATTTATGAAATGCCATTTGTGCCAATAGCACTGATGCAGTTCCTTGTTCAGAGCACACCACAGAGTAGAGAGCTCTGAAACAAGAACAGGGTTATGAGCAGGTCAGAACGTACAGCTGGTGGTAAACATTCAACGTGTCAGTTTTTATGCTAGATATTTGGTTTCATGTGGTATCAAGTTAGCATGACACTCATATAAGTCATGTGAGTGCATTTGTCTTTCCCTCAGTTTAATTGTCAACATAGCTGTTGAAATACTAACAGGCAAGCACCTGTGTCAGAGTCTCTAGAGTTTAAACCACCTTGCGCTAATATGCAATTAGCCACTGTAATCAGTATGCAATAAAATAATGTGTAGTGAAACAGACAATGAAAATTCATATTCTTATACAGAATACATGAAACAAAAATAAGTCCCCTTGTAAGCTTAGATAGCTTTCTGAACGGGGGAGTGTGTCTGAGGAGCTGGGTTGGGGAAGGCTTTTGAGCTGTAACACAGTGGAAATTTTCTGCATTTCGCCCCACGGAGTCAATCTTTACACCGACACAGTGAAATCAAGCACACAAGCCTGTGACGAGTGTCAGGGCACAGGGCTCTGAGACCTGACTGCAGTGTGCATAGTGTGAGCTTGGCTTCGGGTTAACAGCTCCTTACACTTATAGAGCGTTTTTTTTTATTTATTGGACACTCCACTCAAAGCGCCTTACAAGCAATGGGAACTCCCCTCCACCCCCACGCATGTAAAGCAGGCCTGTGCTCGATGGCCCACTGTCTTCATTTCTCTTTTTAGGCCACGGGTGCACCTGGATCACCACAACCTTCTCGCTGCCCATTCCTGCGCTCAGTCCTCTGGGAAGACATCCCCCGTGCAGCTCCCTGTGCTTGCTCTACAGCTGATCACCTTGGACCATATCTGCAGTAACAGCATGACATCTGGGACACAGCATGCCTTTTTACAGCAAAGTCGGCCAGTTTGATCCTGAAGAGCATTACCCCACAGCCACAGAGCTTGCCTGCAGAGCAGTAGATCTACTGTAACACTCCTGGGAAAATCACAGAAACATGAGTAAAGTCCACAAAATAGAAATACCTAGAGATTAAAGAAATTAAAAGAAAACTTTAATAATAAGAATATCCGCCGATGCCCTTGAAGGAGCTGAAAATAGAATGGGATGAAAATATTTTCAGGAATTAGAAAATCGCACTTGGTTCCATCTAGTTTATTCGTCTCCTGTTTGACAGTTACAATGTATTGTATATATGTGCTCCTGGCATATACTGTATTACTATGCATTCAAAAGTCCTCCAGAATCTTTGTGCTTCTCAAATTGGCTTGCTGCTGTAACAGTATTTGCAACTATACTCTATGTAGAAGTTTGACTATACCAGAGAAGATCATTGATATTGACGAGCATATGTACTTGTCCTCATTAAGAGCTGCAGTGTAATTGCTTTTCATCCTCGGACAGTGGCCAGCACTCCCGTCTGGTGTGTTAGGTGACAGTGAAGCAACCAGCTTCCCCCAAAGGAGGAAGCCCCTGTCCCTCCTGCCTGAGCAAGACAAACGAGGGGGCGAACTTTCTATTCTCTGGGACCAGTGATGTGTGATGCAGTGTCTCTCTGACCTCATCCCTCTCCTGCTTGTGTACGCAGTCATTTGGATGGAAAGCAATTAGCTCTTAATTAAATCACCTCCTGAGTCCCAGATGTTCCAGTAAGAAACTCACGGTTCCCCTGTGCCTTGCTCAGTGTTCACACACTCACACAGACGATATGCACGAGGCAGCCCAGGGAAATCCTGACTTTCTTACTGGGAGAGAGGGGAGTTCAGAGAGGATTTAATTATGAGCTAATTGCCTTCCTTTCAAATGGATGCAGGTGCACGGGTCTGCCTTGCAGGAGGTGAACAGAGATGCTGTGTTGCTGTGCTCTGGGAAAAAGTAAGCTTGACCCTCCATTCCTTTTGTTGAGAGCAAGTCAAGTCGGTTTTTCCACTGATCAAAGGCACATATCCCTGTGCTGCCGGCGAGCTCCACGCATCCTTGCAGGAGTGCCCGAGCTGATCGGAGAAGCAGAGCCTCTCTTGCTGACAGCCCTGCAAAGCCTCAGACGCCTGCGTGTCCCAGCAGCTGCTCCACCTCAGAGGCACTCAGTCAGTCTAATCTCTCCACTTCAGCAATTCCAGTCTCAGCTCCAGCACATACAAGCTCACAGGCACCGCAGACCTTAGCCTGCACTCGATGCCACTGTGCTTACTGGTTCAGCCACTCAGGAAACTGCCCCTGCCTTCTTTACAAGTTTTTTTACGGTCACTAAGCCAGATATAGAACAAGCCTTGATTGAATTTGCTCAACCTAGCCTCTCCAGTCATTTGGTGAAGTAGCATCTCCCTTCTCCACCTGATCTGCTGGGCAGTGGGGCTGCTGGGGCAGAACTGGGCAGAACGGCTACCCTATGTCACTCAGCTGGGGTAGTGCATGCCGTGATGGTTGATCTGCTGTGTTGTGAGCCCCCTCCATTGTGTAAAGCACCTTGGGTTTGAAATTTCAGTTCATTTCAGTAAAGTATTTTGGCTATATAATGACACTTAAGGTACGCAGTTAAACAGCTTGTAGTATCAAAGACTTGCAGTGGAATGGACAGGGCTGTTCAATTCTGGTGCTGGAAGGCTGGTACTACTGTATATGTCTGCAGGATTCATAGGTCTTTTTAAAACAGCAGCATCTGAAGTCCAGACTGGGAGAAGTGACTTAAGCCAGTAACCGACTGGTTTACCTTTTTAAGGGTTGCATTGGAATAAAGACGTTTGAGGTCACATTGACCCTCCAGGACAAGGATTGGACAGCTCTGCTTTATCTCAGCATCATTTCTTTCACTTGTTGTCACGACTATAGTCCCCCCTCCTTAAGGGTGCTCCAGCCCTTTCACTAAAGACTTCATTCTCTGCACCTGTTTCCCATTCCCTGCCCACCTTAAAAGCCAGGCGCTGACGCTCTTCCGGGCTCTGCATCTGATTCCCATATCGTGCGAGTCCGGGACCAGGAAGCGCCTGGTCCCGTTAAGGTTTTAACCTCGGTTCCCGTTCCTGTTCCCCGTCCGCCAGTTCCGACCCGGCCTTCGTGGTTTTTAATTCTTGCTCTGATGGATCTCCTGGTTTTGGACTTACTCGTGCGTTCTGGATTTACCCTAAGGACTACTCTCGGATTGTTCGCCTCGGCCACACCTCCCCCGTGCACCAGCGCACCTTGGACACGCCCCCCTGTCTTCAGCCCCGTTTTCCTGCATGACGTTTCCCCAGTGTTTCCCCCACTCCGTCGGACTGTGTCGTCCGCATAGGGTCCGGAAAGAACTGTTCGTTACACTTGTTCAATCATCTTCAAGCCTTTGTGGAAGATGAACTCCCCTTTTACTGCTGTTCGCACAAAGGCAGTCAATTTAATTCACTTAAAATTAGGTTTTATCTACAAGGGAAGCTAGGAGTCAGGAGTTGGAGCTGGAGCAAGGTGCCCAGGCCCACCCTGACTGATCCAAGGCCTACCCAATCAGTCCAAAGTAATTTAAGATTTTTTTCCCTTGAAAATTTTGTAATTGCAGTGGGGCAGTGCACACGTAGCCTAATTGGCTATTAATGTCATCAGACACTCTTAGAGCCATCTAACGCTAGTTTTTTGGTTTATTAGCAAGTTAACGCACTGTTGAGATTAATAGTCACACATCCAAGTACATCACGCAGTGTTGAGAGACTCTTTTCAGCTGTTAATCGGATCAAGACGCATGTGTGATCCTCAATGTCATCAGATTGTCTAAACAGCTTGTCTATACTATCATTTAAACGGGAACTTGCAGACTCTCTAGACAGCGATGAGATTATCAATATTCAAGCCCCAACGCCTGAGTCTGGTCTAGAAGGCCAAAACCTCACAACAGAGGTAGGCACTGATTGTTCTTTTTGTGTGTGTGTGTCCACCGTGACGATGTAGCGTTTGGCAGCATAGGTAATTATGGCTTAACCTGTGTGTGTGTGTGTGTGTGTGTGTGTGTGTGTGTGTGTGTGTGTGTGTGTGTGTGTGTGTTTGAGAGAGAGTATGTATATATACTGTATAAGGTTGATTATACCACATGAGGATTGGATTGTAAATTTGTAGGGCCCCTGTGCTGGCAGGACGGTCAGATAGAGCCCGGGCCACCCACTTTTGCACAGGCCCAAAAATCAATTCCTGGCTACGCCCCTGAGCTGGAGGTTTCAGAATGAAAGATTTCCTCAATTATGCGGCGTGTGACCCGCTGCCTGTAATGTTAGCAAACGAACCCCTGTGGAATTAACAGTGCTCATTAAAGGACTGCTTGACATTTCCACCTGTGTCTCTGCATCATTAATTGGCAACCAATTAAGAGCTATCGAGCATAGTTTATTCAACTGGTTTTCATTCCAGCTGAACCTGTGATTCTGGCCCTGATATGCAGCAGTCCCAGCTTGTGTAATTAGATCTTGTACTGTATAACCTCAGCCTGGATTTGGATTTCAGGAGCACACTGGTGATACCAGACATCATGGAGGTACAGCAAGGTGATTAGCTCTAGAATTGAATAAATTTAAAATTAATGAATCACAGAGGAGCCTTCTGTGTTTAATTTGCATATGCTTCTCCACATTTCCAGGCGATATGGTTCCCTCTCACCTTCCAAACACAAGTGGGCTAGTTTAGTTACCGCCTCTAA